GTGCTATTGTTTGCAGGACCAAATCTAGCTCTCTCAGCACGTGTGTTTCCTTCCTCTTTTTTAGCATGGCTCTGATGCAGGAGATGATATGCATGAAGATGCCAAGATCAAGAGCATGCATGATCTCGATAAGAAGTGCCCTGTACGGGTTGCCGACATCCGTTCCGCCCAAGGCCAACCCCCATATTGCTGCCTGTTGAGGAACAAAGGGAGGGGAAAGTGATGGGTTGCGAAAGGTATATCAGAAGAGGGGACCTGGCCTGGAAACTGAAAGGGATAGGGGTTGAGTAGGGCATGGGTGACAGTGAAGAGATGCTGTAAATCTCTGTCCTCCCATCTCCCTCCCTCTCATCCCTCCTCACTCCCATCTCTGTCCTCCCTTCTTCCTTCTTCTCTTCCCTCCTCACTCCCATCTCTCTCCACCAATCTTCCTCCCTCTCTTCCCTCCTCACTCCCATCTCTCTCCTCCCTTCTTCCTCCCTCGCTTCCCTCCTCACTCCCATCTCTGTCCTCCCTTCTTCCGTCTTCTCTTCCCTCCTCACTGCCATCTCTCTCCTCCAATCTTCCTCCCTCTCTTCCCTCCTCACTCCCATCTCTCTCCTTCCTTCTTCCCTCTGATCCATTCTCTCTCCAGTCCTCGTCCTACCTTCTTCCTCACTCTCATCCCTCCTCACTCCCATCTCTGTCCTCGCTTCTTCCTCCTCATCCCTCCTCACTCCCATCTCTGTCCTCACATCTTCCTCCCTGTAAATCCCTCCTCACTCCCATCTATATCCTCCCTTCTTCCTCCCTCTCATCCCTCCTCACTCTCAACTCTATCCTACCTTCTTCCTCTCTCTCATCCCTCCTCACTCTCATCTCTGTCATCTCGTCTCCCTCCCTCACCTTGACTGGGTGGATGCTCATGGCTTTTGCGGCATCATTCCGCGCAGTAAGTGTCGGTATTGCAAGTAACTCTTCGACCTTCTCCGCCTGATCCGCCTCCGCTCGGTACTCGGATGAAATCTCCATGTTGCTTATGTCCTCTCTTCGCACTAGACACCTGTGACACGGATATTGCGCTTGGTGGCTTGCAAAAGTGCCTGCCACCTTACATGCCTCCGGTTGGTCTGCAACGTAGGCATATAAGGCTAGGTAGACCTCATGACGTTCACCGAATGGGTCACGCATGATGATCCCACTGTTTGTGGAGTACCAAACAAAGCGAGGGGTGGGGCAGGGAAAAGGTGTACGGATTCAGCATGCGAGAGAAGGGGGAAGGCATGTGTCTGATGGACTAATGAGTTAAGAAGTGGTAGAAGAGAGAGAGAGAACGAGGGGTAGGAGGAAGAAGGGGGTTATCTGCATGATGTTCTTGTGTGGAGTGTAATGTGTGTGATAAGCAAGATAGAATGTGATGGAGAGGGGGTTGACTGAAAGGGGTGGGATGTGGGATGGGTAGGCTTGTCATGAATGTGTGTGTGATGGTAAAACGAAAGCATAGGTACAGTATAAGGGAGGTCATGAGACAGAGAGTGTTGTTGTTCGTTCTAAACACGTTCTTGGAGTGTGTAGGCAGGTGAGGGATTAAAAACAGAGGAACACGTATGACATTACATCTGATTTTGCCACGGGATGAAAATCTACTGCTTTGGAAAGAGTAGGTGGCAAATGGATCAAATGTACAAATTACCAACCTTTTAGAAGCCTCTCGGACGTCTTGCATGATGCGATCCATGGCTTTTTGAAACACCGCGCGGCGCGTCTCCTTCCCCGCTTCGGTTTTTGCATCCACGCCAGTCAAGGGTGGCAGCATGGCAATCATGATATGGCCATGCGGCTGCCATCTGTTCTTGACTGTAATGTTACCCAGCGTCATGTACACCGGATGCCCAACTACTCGTCCGTCAGTACTGAGGTTAGTCGCATCGCTGTATAGTATCATGGGCACCAGTATAGCACCTCTAGGCAGTAACGCTTGTGTTTCAATCCACATGTTCCCGGTCTCTGGTCCCGCGTAAATACGCTGCTTTCCGTCCGCTGTGTAAATTGGTTTCGCCCACAGGACAAATCCCTCATGATTCTTACGCTCCAAAAATAGCGACTCTACTGCCTTGGAGAGTGATGTTAGATAGAGTATAGCGACGTGGTTACTGTTGTGACTAACATCTACCGACTCCCACTCCTCTATTCCTGTCATTTGCACAAGCAATGACTTGGCATACTTATCCATGCCTGCTCTATTTGTATTGCTGGGCCTCTCCGCTGTAGGCCTGCAAAACAGTGCTAAAATGTTGTTGGTGTCCGTAGCAGACAAACCCATGCCACCATTGCAACTGTGGACGACCTTCAGAAACGCTTTGTCAATATCAAACGTCGGTACACCTGCTGGTAACTCAGATGGAAATTCATACCGTGGCAACTCTGGGATCTCATCTACTTGCTCTGACTGAGCGCTCCTGGGTGCTACATCTGTCCTCACCGTGTCTGCTGGCAGTGCTGTTGCTGAGCCTGAGTTCTGCTCACTCTGATCCGCCTGTCTACGTCTTATATGCGCGATCAAATCTTCCACCTCCTCCTGCTCACGTGGTCGTTTTCTGCAAGCCTTTCTATGGTTCTCATATGCTCTCCCACTTGTGAACGACCTATTACAGCACACGAACAGCATGATGCCTTACAATATCTACGTCCGCCGCCATGGAAACCAACTATATAGTAGAGCTGAGAACCCTCAATGCAGGCCTTTCAGGCCTCCTATGAAATCTCCAGATTCGGATGCTTATGTCACCGCTAACGCCACCAGCTCTCTCGCCTCTCGTTGCAGGCAAAACTGCAGCTCAATGAAGCACAGGTTCAATCTGAGAATTGATATAGACCTGGAAACTAACTAAGCCAGGAGATTAAGATAAATTATAAGTCCAACAAGCTCCACACAATCACTAAGCTGAGAATAGGCGCCCCACGAAAGGTCTGCACGTAGGCTTGAAGAGCGCTCTGGAATATGTGTAGTTGCATCTATAAATTTAAAAAGCATTCGGATACAAAACTGTTCTTTAGCTGGCCAAGCCATGGAAACACCGTCTCGTTGTATCTGATCGCTAGGCACCAGAGGCAGATCGGGTGATCTAACTGGCGCCATTACGCTGCCAATGAACTCTGAAACGGGCGGTAATTATGGCTGTTGAAGGAAACTAAGTGCAGCGTAACGTTAACAATCACAACTTTTACTGCAGTCAGGGCCGTTGGAGGATGAGTCTTTGGAAGAAGGTGAGCAAGCATGTGGTGTTTGTCGCCACACACAGTGTTGTCCAGGTCGCAAGGGTTGGGAGTGCGACTGTGGACGAATCATCTTGGCGCTCTGCACCAACGACGGTGTCGCGCGAAATATCGTAATGTACAATGCGACCTGTTATGCGAAAATCGCATGATGCGACACCAGGAAAGGCAAAATTCGCAGGCAGGGAAAAAACCGCAGGTCGCGACAGCTGGCAGGACGAAAATCCACGTACAGACCAATCGTAGCCCTTAGCGACCCCCAGGTTTGTCGCCAACGAATGATGACTGGCAAGGAACCCAGTTTTCGTCATAAGGGTGTGCCAGGTTGGAATATTGCAACTGTAAATATTGTGGCAAGTTTCTCCCTAAACATGTTGTTTCTAAATAATAAATCACCGAGCACTGTGATAGCATAACCAGACGTAAAAATCCTATGAATTTTTTAAAATTATTTTGTACTTGAAATCTGTAACAATAAAACATTTTTTTCATGCACAAATTCCGTAATGCAGGCACTGATGAATTTCCTCTGAACTTTGATACTATACTAAAATAATTACTTGCGTAGCTGTGCAATGACTTTTTGTACCATCTATCGAGACCTTAACTCTATACGCGGGATCTGTGAGTTCGCCAATGTGGCACCAGCTGCCCGCTTCTGAGATTGTTGTTGACCATAGGCAGGCAGATTTCGTGTGCTGCCTGCGCGCAATTTCGTAGCCAATGCAACTCGCCGGAAGCATGCGCGCCAATTCCCAGATCTGTGCTCGCGCAGCATTCCGGAAACCATCATCAGCGAAATCACTACTCGCAACCTGCGAGGCAACAAATGTAAATGTGCGATGAACGTGCTCTTCACAGAGGCAGTCAAAGCTGCTGGAGAGCAAGGCCAGGCGCCTTGCCACTGAGACCGACCGCCTCTGATCGCCACTGACAGTGAACGCGACTCATCTCATGCTCCTGGATTGTTTCTCCTGCTTCTGCTGCTGCTTCTGCTGGTTTCACTACTGCTACATCCACTCCACTGATAGGGCTGGACCGCTGCTGCATCCGATATGTCTGGGTTGCTGCTACATCTGATTCAATGGAGCTGCTGCATCAGCCCAAAGAGTTGGACGGATACCGGACATTGATTGTGGTTGGGATGAGATGATGTACCAGTTGTATGAAGAGGTTCTGTCACATGTTATGAGAACTTTTATATAGTTATCCTGCTGCTTTCGGACGAAGCTGTATCATTCTCAACTCTGAAACCTGTGGACCTTGGGGTTTTGAAGGGAAATAAATGTTTTATTGACAATATGACATTGCAAGGAAACAGAGAGCACGCAGCTGCATCACTGACCACTGAAATGGTGAGGGATCATTGCCAGCATCTCATTGCATCGCATCGCATCGCATCGCATCTCATCTCATCTCATCGCATCTCATCTCATCTCATCTCATCTCATCTCATCTCATCGCATCTCATCTCATCTCATCGCATCTCATCTCATCGCATCGCATCTCATCTCATCTCATCGCATCGCATCAAGCATCTCATCACCGTGGATCCTATGATGACCATGGATCCGCCTGCATCAGGGCTGCCCAGGCTTTTATTCACTGCCTTGCACGCCAAGCCACTATGCCACAGTAGCTGCTTTATTCGCAAGCACTCTGCGTGCGCCACACCTCGTTACAGAGCATCCCGTTACTAGCAGCAGCCATCGCGCCTCGCCTGCAAACCCATCTCGCCACAACGTCTAGAAGTTTTTGCTGCTCTGGTAGATTTTTCCGCCGCTCCACTTGCTCGGAATCACGCCGTCCAGCACCACCTGCTTCCCGCTGCCCGACACGCGCACGCTCACCGCGCGCCCCGCATCCACGACGCCCGTGGCGGGATTCAGCACCCACGTCGCGCCCCATCCGTTGTTCGTCATGCTCTTCCACTCTTTCCCGTCCTTGGATATCTCCACCTTCTCCACTCGTCCGCGCCTCGCCGCTCCGAAAATCTGAAGCGCGAAATTGTACTTGCTGGCATCGGGCAGGAGTCGGACCGCCATTCCGCCGCTGCTAGAGCAATCCACCTGATCGTACGTGACCTCCACTTGCCCGCCCTGGCCGCCCACGAGTTTGTTCCACGCGGGAGTGTCGAGGTTGAAGTTCTCGCCGGCCTGCCCGATCGCTCGCACTTTCACGGAGCCGCCCTTGCATGCGCGGCCCGTGCAGGAAACTTCGTAGCACGTTCCGCATCCCTTGCTGTTGTCAAACTTGCTCGCAGGCACCTGCGCAACCATGCCGAAGTACTGACTATCACGGAAGCGACCTTGGAAGTCGCGGTAGCACGTGCCTTCGCCGCTCAGGTCGGCGGAGTTAGCCTGAACGGCGTCGGCATGAGTGAGGGCGAAAGCGAGCAGGACGATTCCGACGCACAGCAGGCTGGCGACCTTGGAAACGCGAGCCATCGGGAAAGGAGCAGCGAGGAAACCTAAGTTGGTAAAAGCGAGCTTGAATATCAGACAGAGGATGCTTTGAGGGCAGTGGTCGATTTCGATGATGATCGGGTGAAGCAGCAGGAAATTTATATAGCTGCGTGAGTGGTAGAGATTAGGCAGTTGGTTAAGACTTGGGGGGGTTCAGCGCAAAGTGCGGCTTCGAGTCGCCATGCTGAGGAATGGCAATAATTTTGAGCTCTTCGCGAAACGACCTCGTGGAGACAGTAACGAATGAGGTCAAAGGTTTGGTTGGCGGGCGGCTCGACGATAGGTTTCGAGAAGGGACGTTGTTTCGCCTGGGTGAGGCAAGAGGCTCGACAATTATTGGAGCTTCGCAACATTCCTCATTGGCTGTAAGGCGGATGAAACAGATATGCCAGATTTCAGATTGCACGAAGTCCGAATTCTGGTAACTTTGCATATGCGACGAGTCACAACCACAGCTGAATTTCACAGGTGGTAACACAAGAATTACAAATGCCCTCAGCAACTGGCAGTCCAACTTCGTTACCGTCGCCACGCGGTCAGCTTGTGGGGAGTTCGAAATTATTGCCATTCCGCAGCACTGGTCCATCCCACAGCACTCGCCCATTACTAGCAAGGGGAGGAAATCGACATGGCGACTCGAAGCCGCACTTCGCGCTGAACCCACCAAGTCGCAGCTTCTGAATCTCTCCCACTCATGGAACTGTATAAATCTCCTGCTTCTTCACCCTATTATCATCGAAATCAACCACTGCCCTATAAGCATCCGCTGTCTCATATTCAAGCTCGCTTTTTCCAACTTCGGTTTTCGACCTGCTCCTTTTTCCCGATGGCTCGCGTTTCCAAGGTCGCCAGTCTGCTGTGCGTCGGAATCGTCCTGCTCGCTTACGCCCTCACTCCTGCCAACGCCGTTCAGGCTAACTCCGCCGACCTGAGTGGCGAAGGCACGTGCTACCGCGACTTCCAAGGTCGCTTCCGCGACAGTCCTTATTTCGGCATGGTTGCGCAGGTTCCTGCGAGCAAGTTCGACAACAGCAAGGGCTGCGGAACGTGCTACGAAGTGTCCTGCACGGGCCGCGCATGCAAGGGCGGCTCCGTGAAAGTGCGAGCGATCGGGCAGGCCGGCGAAAACTTCAACCTCGATACTCCCGCGTGGAACAAACTCGTGGGCGGCCAGGGCGGGCAAGTGGAAGTCACGTACGATCCCGTGGATTGCTCTAGCAGCGGCGGAATGGCGGTGAGACTCGTGCCCGATGCCAGCAAATACAACTTCGCCCTTCAGATTTTCGGAGCGGCGAGGCGCGGACAAGTGGAGAAGGTGGAGATATCCAAGGACGGGAAAGAGTGGAAGAGCATGACGAACAACGGATGGGGCGCGACGTGGGTGCTGAATCCCGCCACGGGCGTCGTGGATGCGGGGCGCGCGGTGAGCGTGCGCGTGTCGGGCAGCGGGAAGCAGGTGGTGCTGGGCGGCGTGATCCCGAGCCAGTGGAGCGCTGGGCAGATCTACAAGAGCAGCAAAAACTTCTAGATGTCGATTTCTGCTGCTAGTATTGGAACGCGCTGTGATGAGATGGTGCTGGGCGGCGTGATTCTGAGCAAGTGGCGTGGCGGGGAGATCTACGAGAGCAGCAAGAACTTTTAGACGTTTGCCGTGAGATGGGGAGCGAACAGGGTGGGATATTTGCTGCTAACGGGATGCGCTGTATCAAGGTGGTGTGCGCGTGAGAGTGCGCGCTAATAAAGCAGCTACCGTGGCATGATGGTGCGTGGTAGTAAGGCAGTGAATACAAGCTAGCAGTGCAAGTGCTACAGCTGCATGCTTTCTGTTTTCTTGCACTGTTTTCAAGCTATCAATAAGTGGTTACTGCACTGCACAATAATTGCCATAGCGTTTCATTAATGCGCTGCATGCAATGCACCATAATAGAGTGTACACACATGCAGATTATATACATTTCAGGCACAAAGTAAAGAAGCAATGGAGCAGTCTGAAGCTACCTGCCTGCCTGTTCCCTGCTCTGCTCTGTCCATCCACGGTGGACATCCTGGCAACAGGGCTCTCGTTATCAGACTAATTTGGTCTGATGGTCTGATTTTCAGACCTTTATTTTTCCTTTCATCTGAACCATAAGACAGTGCTTTTTATTTTGTCTGATCCATAAGAGAAAGGATTTTAGTTAGTCTGAATTATCAGAGCAGGCGTTATACTGCGTCCGAAATTTCAGATAGTGAGTTTCGTTTCATCTGATACCGACAATTCTGCCCACGTAGCCATAGGTTGTCAGTTCTGGCAGGCACCTTTGGTGGCTGTGATTGCACGTGTAGTAATTTGCGTCGCCTCACTGGCCGAATTTTGTAGTGTACTGTACCAGCACAAAGCCCGCCTCGTACCAGCCCAACCAAGTCCCTTTGGCCTCTACCAGCCCAGCCAAGCCACCATCCCCCCCCCTACCGCCCCCCACGTCCGCCAGCCAAGCGCTACCGTAAGTCCCCCTTGCCTCTACCAGCCTAGCCACCCTACCAACTCCAGCCCAGCACTTCACCCAACTCCCTCGCACTGTCGCAAATCTTCCAGCAAAGTCCTCCCCCCCCCCCCCAACTCTCACATACCTTTCCCAGCCCAACCCTTCCCCCACATTGACCGCTCTTACCCTAGTCCAGCCCCACTCCCCTCTCGAGCCCCACGCCTCACAGTCCTGTCCACTAACGTGCAGTCTAATGCACCGCTGCTACGTCATCAAGATGCAAGTTGCAACATCAGACGCGGAAAAAAAAATCGTCTGAGATTTTCAGACATGCAATGGAATTTCGTCTGAAAAGAAAGACACGCGAAAATTTCCCGTCCGAACGTTAGACGAAACGGATTTTTGGGTTTAGGTTTTCAGACAGGCCAAAATCCTAGCGAGAGCCCTGCCTGGCAAGCCACTGCAACCCCAGCAAGCCACTGCAACCTGGGTCATCCTGGCAGTCTGTCTCGAAGGGCGACTCACACCACCCTCCCTGCCCTGATGCTGCCTTGCGCTTCTCCCAACGTCTTCCTGCTGCTGTAGGACAGCCAAAGCCTCATCTCCACGCCTCATTTGCAGCAGCCTTCACTGCCGCTCTTGGCTTGGGAATGAGAGACGGAAGCAGCCTTAAAGCCGCAGTAGGCACTCGGGTTACCACCTTAGGGTTTGTCACTGACACGTATTGCGTTACAGCTGCAACCTCCACAGCAGACACGAATGATGGGATTCGATAATCGCTGCTGCAGTTGCTGCTGGCAACGCCAATGGTGCTGTCCCTGTTAGAGCCGCCACTGCTGCAGGTGAAGCCATCACTTGAATCGCTGCTGCAGTTGCTGCTGGCAACGCTCATAGTGCTATCCCTGTTAGAGCTGCCACTACTGCTGCTCAAGACGCCAATCGCTGCTGCTGCAGGTGGTGCTGGCAATGCTCATGGTGCTACCCCTGTTAGAGCTCTACTGCTGCAGCTCAAGTCATCAGTTGAATCGCTGCTGCTGCTGCTGCAGGTGGTGCTGGCGACGCTGACGCAACCCAGGCTGCAGGGCAAGTTAGCAATCGGCTTCCGGGAAGGAACCGAATCACTGATGCTGCAGGCGGTGGTAACAGCGCTGACGCTGCTGCTCTCGTCGGACCTCTCACAACCCATGGCTCTGCTCGTCGTAGCGAAAAGGAAAAGAGCATGTTTTCTGACGAGGTTGTTCACAACGCTGTCATGACCGTTGAAAGATGATGATGACGCTCCGTGCTTGGACAGCACCGCTCTGATTGCTTCCAGCAGCTGGAGTGACAGGTTGAAAGATGATCATGACAGCTGGAGTTCACAACGTTGTTCACCGGAGCGTCGCGTCGGTGCCATTGCTGGAGCCGCTGATCTGCTTGACCTCCTTCTTCTCGCACTCATTTTGCGAGAGCTCGTGCTTTACGGTTGCAGACGGAGCTGAGCAGGTCAGCGGCTGGTGAAGTCGCGTCCGCCTCACTGCAGCGCAGGATTTCCAGAAACTCAGCGCGTCGGCGAACGATGGATTCTCAGCAGATGCGGTGTTGCTCACGAGGGTGGCTGCGGTCGTGTTGTCGAAGCTTGGATGAAAGCACGGAATTATTGGAAAGATTGGAGCACCGGAGACTGGAGCTTGTAGCAAAATCTGAAAGCGAACTTGCGGAATCAAAGACTGAATTGCTGGCAACTCGACTTTGTAGGTTACGAGCCGAGAGGACGCGAGAGAGAGAGGAGGCATTAGGGTTGGCTGTCAGAAGAAGGAAGCCCCGTAAAATCCTCGCCTCCCGAGTTATGAGCGGCTCCGCTAGTCGAAATCCGCGCTGCATGCTGCCCGGACTAAACTTCGACCGTGGTGATTATTCTGAAGCAAATCTCCTAACAGGGCGAACTCACAGTGGTTGGATGGAACATTTATTACGTCTACCCGTGATACGTGCCCGTGAGTGAATCTTGCGATTTCTTCGTTGCCCAAGAACACGTTTCTCAATTTGCTCGCTCGGTGAACGAATTGCACGGAAGGGTAGGGGGTTGAGTACAAGGGCTCGAAGAGCTCGGCGTAGCCCCCGCTGACCTTTGACAAGTCGTTTCCAGCTGCGACAATACCTATGACGCTCTGCGCCCCATTCCTAGAGCAGGTGCGAAGCAGATCTTGGGAAAATGTGGACGATCCCGCGATATTAGCGGGGTAATCTGGTACTATTCGCGCATCGAGCATCGCAAACCGGGAAAATGTCGGATACAGGGCCTGGCTTCAAGACAGGAGCCTACGAATAGTTTCTAGGCTGCAAGTCTTCAGCAGACAGGAGTTTCAAACGGATGGATCAGATACTCGTTACACAGGTCCGCACAAACACCAAACTGCTTTGAACGAATTTTGTTTGGAAAAAATTGTAAATCGTGGATACACTTTTCCAGCACTCTTTTTGGTTGTGTGCTGGTAACCTGAATGACAACAGGCGAAAGGACATCGCACAGTCACAGCGCGACTCACGGGTGCCTGCCTTCATCAAAGCGCCAGGTGCCCAACAGGTTTTTGGATGCGGCTCGCAGGCAGGCGCTGCCAAACATTTCGCCGTCACTAATGGAGCACACAGGTTCAACGCAGCTGAAATGTTGAATCCTGTTCCCATCGTGTGCCTCCCACAAAAAAGCAACTGGCTGCACTGGATGGATGTGTTCAACGAGGGGGGCGCATGCTGAGAAGATTGAAACGAGAATGAATGAACTATGAATGAACTGAGTACAAGTATTAACCCTAATTGGGTTGTACCCCTTGTGGGCTACCCCACTATAGCCTACACAATAAGCACAAGCTATATGTTTTGACACACCCCCATAGGCAAAGTGGGGGAGAACAAGGGGTCACAAGACCAGTCAAGCAAAGCAAAGCAAAGCAAGCTCAGGGTGGATCACAAAGTCACCACACATTCCGAGCACAAGTTCAAGGCCACAAGGCCAGTTCACATGCAGGAGTACATATATATATATATAAGGCTAGACAAGCAAGAGCAGGTATATATGTATGTAACAGTACAAGCAAGGTCAAGAGGTGAGCAAGTGAGGCAAGACAGGTACAAGACCCAGCTGGGTGCAGAAGCGCTGATGATCACAAGGCGCAAGTGCCTTGGTGAAGACATCAGCAGTGTTGGCCTCAGAGGCCACGTACGCAAGCCGCAACTGACAACGCTGCTGTAGCTCACGAGCAAGGAAGTAGCGAAGAGCAATGTGCTTTGTTCTGTGCTCCAGTCTCTGCTCTCGACACAAGGCCAGCATGGCCTTGTTGTCTACGTACAGGACCGGAGGAGAACGAGGCGACTCTCCAAGGTCGGTCAGCAGGTAGGTGAGCCAGCGAAGCTCCTGTGCAGCCATGGCCCCGGCGTAGATCTCAGCCTCACAACTGGAGCCGAGAACAGAAGACGAGCGAGTAGCCCGCCACGAAACAGAGCCGGAACCAAGGCTGAAGGTGTAACCCTGTGACGACCGCTGCGTAGCCTGGTCGTCAGCCCAAGAAGCGTCCGCGTGCCCAGTGAGGACTACTGGACTCCGCCCTCCAAGCACTAGCCCCATGCCCGACGTACTGCACAAGTAGCGCAACACCCTCTTCGCTGCAGCCATGTGCTCTGGTCGGTGTCTCCCAGGAGCAACATAGCGTGCGAGAATGCTAAGAGGGTATGCAAGGTCAGGTTGTGTGCAGGTCATCAGGTACATGAGACAGCCAACAAGCTCTGGATACGGGCCACTCGACTCTACGGACTCATCCGAAGGCAGAGCTGAGAGCGAGTGGCGAGTAGGCAGAGGAGTGGCCTGAGGCGAGGAGTACGTGAAGTCGAAGCGCTGAAGGACCTGCTGCACCATGTGTGACTGAGTCAGGGTAATGGTGCGGCGTGCTCTGTCTCGGGTGATCTGCAAGCCAAGGTAGCTGCGCAGTTCACCCAGGTCTGTGCACGTGTGTCTCTTCTGCAGCTCGGACTTCACGTAGGCGAGTCCAGCAGTGTCATCTGTGGCAAAGACCAAGTCGTCGACGTACACGAGGATGTAGAACGGCGGCAGAGAAGTGTCGGTGCGAAGAAACAGCGACGGGTCGGCAGTAGAAGGAGCAAACCCAAGAGCCGCAAGCGTAGTCCTCAGTGTGTCGTGCCACTCACGTGGCGCCTGGCGGAGACCGTAGACTGGACGCCGGAGACTCCACTGGGTACCAGGAGGAAAAGACCCAATGAAGCCAGGTGGGCGGCGCAGCCAAATCTCCTCGTGCAGGCTGCCCTGCAAGAAAGCTGTGCTGAAGTCGAGAGAGTGCAGCTCGTAGTCACGGTGAGCAGCAACATGCAGCAGTACCCGAAAAGTGGTCATCTTCGGGGTTGGAGAGAAGGTCTGAAAGTAGTCAACTCCCTGCCACTGACTGAAGCCACGAGCCACGTAACGCGCCTTGAAGACAGGCGGAGAACCCGGCGGCCGCTTCACCATGAAGATCCACATGCCACTGACGATGTTCGCCCCAGAAGGGGGGACAACGTAAACGTAGGTGCCTGTGGACTTCCAGGAAGCCATCCCAGACACTGGAACTCCTCCTGCTTGTCCTCAAGGACGTCCGTGCCAAGGGCACACTCACCCCCGACGGACGGAGGACAGACAGACTCAGACTCAGCGACAAGACTAGCAGCGTATTCTAGGCGACAGCGAGTAGCAAAGTCGACGAGCTCAGCAACTAGGGCAGACGCAGCAGTGGACTCGAAAGAAGGGTCAGTGACGACAGTAGCCAGGAGACGCGTGACAGTAGGACTGGCAGCAGGAAGAGAGTCCGACTCCGGGTCGGCAAGTGCAGGAAGAGAGGACTCAGGAGGAGAAGGCAAAGGGGCAAGCAGAGGAGCAGTGGACGGACGCAGAGACATCCTGTGCGTGCCAGGGACAGGAGGAGGACGCTGACGCGAACCACGACCACTAGCGCGAGCAGCACGGACAGGCGACGCAGGCGAGACGCAGGCTCACGACGCTCAGTAAGACCTCCAGTAGGACCAGTGTAGGGAGAAGGAGTTGGCAAAGGGGAGGTAGGCTGCAACTGTAACTGTGACGGGACTGGCTGTGGATACTCTAAAGAAGGAGGAGGACCAGTAGAAGGCGGAAGACCAAGAACCTGCTGCAGGAGTGGAACGAAGTACGGTCGAGGCCGCGCCGCGACGCCAGACACAGCAGGTACATCACCAGTACCCCCAGCAGGAGCACCCGCTCCAGCTGCACCACGAGCAGCGCCAGAACCTCCAGCAGTACTAGGAGTACCCGTAGTAGGACCGCCAGCAGTAGTCTCAGCTCCAACACCCTCAACAGCACCAGCTCCAGTCGAACCCGCACGCCCAGCAGCTCCAGTACTCCCAGGACGAGCACGGCCGGGACCCGCGACAGCAGCACCCTCAGTTGCCGAAGAGCCTCCAGCACCAGCAGCACGCCTCCAGCGCCGGGCAAACCACTCGCGGAGCTCCCGTGGAGAGAATGGCTCCTGCACAGACGAAGCACCCGGAGAACCTCCAGGCGGAGCACCTCCAAGCTCAGCACCCCCAGGCTCAGCACACCCAGGCTCAGCACCCCTAGGCTCAGCACCCCCAGGCTCAGCATCCCCATGCGCAGCACCCCCAGACTCAGCACCCCCAGGCTCAGAACCCCTAGTCGCAGCACCCCCAGGCTCAGCACCCCGAGGCTCAGCACCCCCAGAGTCAGCACCCCCAGGCTCAGCACCCTCAGCAGCACCAGAGTCACCAGTGACCTCGACAGGCTCGACTGCGTCTACCTGGGACACACCTGAAGGGGACGGACCCTGAGGGGGGAGGGGGTCTACTGGAGAGGGACCGGGTACAAGGAAGAGCAGCGGCGGGGGGAGGGACGGAGTGCGGTAGGGGAAGAGGCGGTAGTAGGGGACCGACTCGTCGAACGTGACGTCCTGGGAGGACAGAACACGGCGAGAGGTGGGGTGGTAGAACTGCCACCCAGGCGCGTCAGGGGGGAACCCGAGGAAGACGCAAGGAGCAGCACGAGGGGACAGCTTCTCCCCAGACAGGTCGCGGACAAACGCCCGAGATCCCCAGACCCGGAACGCCGACGCATCGCCAACCTTCCCCGTCCACAGCAAGGCTGGGGAGGTCTCCGGCCTGGAGACCCTGGGGTGTAGGTTGATCTGATGCACCGCGTACCTCACCGCAAACGGCCACAGAAAATGGGGAGCAGCCGCATGCATCATAGACGTACGAGCGACGTCCATGACCATGCCAATGCGGCGCTCAGCAATCCCATTTTGTTGCGGGGAGTCCGGAAGCGTGAAGGTCTGACGGATTCCTCGTGCGCGACAGTAGGCTCTTAGAAGGCCAGAAGAAAACTCTCCGCCTATGTCCGAGTGCAGACGCAGAACAGGAAAGTCCGAGCCAAAGCTCTGCGTGAGCTGGAGACGAGCTGCGCGGATCCAGTCGATCAGCACCTCTGTGACATCACCCTTGCTGCGCATGGGAAAGACTGCGGTGTAACGCGAGTAGTCGTCAACAACGAGCAGGAAGTAGCGCTCGTGACCCTGTCCACGGACGCGGGCTGGGCCCCACACGTCCATGTGAAGCGTCTGCAACGGGGCCTCTGTCGGAGGAAACTGGGAGGAGTGAGGGGCAGCCCGCTGGCGCCCCTTGACACAGGGGACACAGGTAGGGCCAGGGCCCTGAGGAAGGGGAGGAAGGGACCGGGGGAGACCAGAAACAAGAAGACGGGAGGCTATGCCTCTGAGCCGAAGCAGAGAGGGGTGACCAAGGCGGTGGTGCCAGAGGAGAGTCTCGTGAGACAGGAGACGACACGAACAGGGGGCAGACTCAGGACCAGACCTGGACGCTGCAGCAAACACCTGACCCGACGCAGCTACCCTACCAGACGCAGCAACCGGGGGAGACGCAGTGGTCAGTGTGTACAGGCTCGACCCTGGCTGACGGGTAAACGTAGCCAGGTGTCGGCCTGTGCTAGCCTCTGTACAGTGCGTCACCCGCTGACGCGCAGGAGTGAACTGGTGTACTCCCCCATCCTGTAGGTCAGCACCACTCACCAGGTACGTAGATAACGAGGGGAGGTAGAGACCAGACAGGGTGCCAGAGGGAGCCGCCGGACACGGGAGGACAGTGGAGAAGTGAGACAGGACAGGACCCCCAGAGGGGTCAGCCAGAGACACCGCAACAGGCCGACTGAGCGGCGTGAGTGTGGTGCGGTCCCGGAAGAAGGAGCGAGAAGCCCCAGAGTCAAGGGTGAAGGTGAGGGAGGCCGAAGCCGACGTAGTACCTGAGAGGGCAGACTCACCAGTACCTGAGGACGCAGACGCACTAGCACCTAGAGCAACAGCGTCGCAAGCACCTAGGGCAGCAGCCTCACCAGTACCTAGAGCAGCAGTCTCAATGCCCGGATCAGGCGGGAAACACCGGTAACAGTCACCCTCATCACTAATAGACACAGCATACATGGCAGAAAGGATAGCATCAAAATCAAGATCATAGATGGCAACTCCCACCCTAGACAACTCGCCCCAGCGAGGGATCTCTGTGGCCTCCGGGAACTGGTGGCGCCACGCGTCCCTCAAGCGGCCAAAGCAGCGCTGGGTGGGGTGCGCACCCCCACACTGCTCACCCGCAAGGTCGCCGGTGCGCAGGACGTAGGTGCACGGACCAAAACCCCCACCCCGCTGGCGCGCAGTGTACCACTCACGGAGCTGCTGAGGGGACAGGGTCTCACGACCGCGCTGCTGCTGCTGGCGCGGACCAATTCCGGAGCCACTCCTCTGCGTAGACCCGCGACCAGCTCCACCGCCACCCCCGCCGCCTCCGCCGCCTCCGCCGCCTCCGCTACTACCGCCGCCTCCGCCGCCTCCTGCACCGCCACCACCTCCGCCATCTCCGCTCTCACCGCCACCGCCGCCGCCGCCTCCGCCTCCACTGCCGCCACCGACACCTCCACCCCCACCTCCACTCCCACCACCACCCCCACTCCCCCCGCCGCCTACACCTCCACCTCCACCGCCCCCGCTCGCTCCTCCAGCGCCCCTGCCCCCCTTGCCCTTGCCAGAGCGGCGTCTCCCGCTAGGGGCAGACGCCGCACCGACCGACTCAAGACCAAGGAGGTCGGCCGCAGCAGCAGAGGCAACGGAGGGCAGAAGGGGGGAGGGGGAACACCCCTCAAACATGGGGGTGCGCGGGTCACCACGAGAGGCCCCTACAGCGACTATGCTCTTCTCGGCCGCTAGGAGGGACTTCTCGAGGAGGTCAACAGTGAGAGTGGTGGGACAGACTGAGAGGAAGTGGTCCCTGACTACGCGAAGGGAGTCAGGGAGGCGAGTGACTAAGTAGTAGAGAGTGATGTACATGGGGGGGGGGGGGGTTCTTGGCACAGAAGTCAGCAGGAAGCACAGCGCGGTAGCGAGTGTCACTAGTGCGGAGGTGCGTAATGAGGTCAGCGACTGTGGGAAAGGCAGCAAGGTCAGGGAAGAGGTACGGTAGCATGAGGCGACTCAGTGCAGCAGTGGCAGGGGAAGAGTAGCGCGCAACTACAGCGTCGTACAAGGTCTGAGCACTCTTGTACTGACTAAAGTGCGCGCGCTCAGTGGTAGGAAGGTGGCGACGCACAGCAAGACGTGCAGCAGCATCGCGAGTGGCCCACTGTGAGCGAACAATGGCGTCGGCATCGGCAGCAGGGGCAGGGGAAGCACCAGAGGTCAGGTCAAAGAGGGAGAGACCGTCTGCCCTATCGCACTGTAACAACAGCTGCAGGTCATCTACCTAGACGTCAAAGTCAATGGCCCGACCCTCAGCGTCAAAAGTGAGAACACTGGGGGTAGCCATGACAGCAGTAGACTAGCAGCGCTAACTGTAGAGCAGGGGCAGTGCGGTGACAGAGGCGCTGCGCTCACCAGACAGGGCGGTTCGGGCAGCTCGGGCGGCTCGGCAGTAACTGCAGCTCGGCGGCACCCGCGGCTCGGCTCCTCAGCTGCTCAGGCGGCTCGGGCGGCTCGGGCGGCTCGGGCGGCTCGGGCGGCTCAGGCGGCTCGGGCGGCTCGGCTGCGTAGGCGTTCGGGCGGGGCCGTAGGTAGGACGGCGGGACCGGGTCGAAGGTAGGGCGACGGGGCCGTTGCGAAGGTAAGGCGACGGGCCCGGGGCCGGGCCGTAGGTAGGGCGACGGGGCCGGGGCCGGGGCCGGGCCGTAGATAGGGCGACGGGGCCGGGTCGAAGGTAGGGCGACGGGGCCGGGTCGAAGGTAGGGCGACGGGGCCGGTGCGCAGGTAGGGCGACGGGGCCGGGGCCGGGCCGCAAGTAGGGCGACGGGGCTGGGTCGACGGTAGGGCGACGGGGCCGGGGCCGGGCTGTAGGTAGGGCGACGGGGCCGGGGCCTGGTCGTAGGTAGGGCGACGGGGCCGGGGTCGCAAGGGGGGGGCGACGGGGCCGGGGTCGCAGGTAGGGCGACGGGGCCGGGGCGCAGGTAGGGCGACGGGGCCGGGGCGCAGGTAGGGCGACGGGGCCGGGGCCGTAGGTAGGGTGACGGGGTCGCTAGAGTGATGAATCAGGGGCCGCTAAGGCGGCTCGACGAAGTCAGAGAGGGGAGCGCGATTCGGGCTGAGCGCGCTCCGGGCAGGAAAAAAAAAATTTTCGACTTGGTGGGCCCTAGGCACAGTTCCCACGAGGGAACCTGCTCGATACCATGCGAAGATTGAAACGAGAATGAATGAACTATGAATGAACTGAGTACAAGTACTAACCCTAATTGGGTTGTACCCCTTGTGGGCTACCCCACTATAGCCTACACAATAAGCACAAGCTATATGTTTTGACACATGCAACGCAAACGACCACGAGCACCTGAAATCGCGAATACCATAGATTTTTTAGGGAGGAACTCGCGTGGCGCTGTACGACCTTCCTGCGCCCTCCATTCCATATAAGAGCATCAAGCGCAAATCCTCTCTTTATTCGACTCAGCATTTACCACACACACATTTATCATTACACACCATTTCACGGTTCCTCCGGATCGCCGCAAAAATTCGATTTGCAACCATGGCCCGGATGACGTCACTCTCTCACTCGCCTTCGCTCGACGCTAAGCGCCTCTTTGTCATCGCTGGTGAGCCCACCGTTCGTACCGCTCGCGTGACGCGCCCTGACACGTCACGTCGCCCATCACGTAGCTCGTGATCACGATGTCGCCCCGTCGCCTTGTCATGTCGCTCTCCCTGCTACTAACTATGTCGCCTCGCCGAGTCGTTCCGCGGAGGTAAGTATCGCGCGCTGGTGGGAGTGCATCAGCTAACCCCCCACGCCGGACTGCCAACATCGCCGCCTCCGCAGTGACAGTCGTGTTTGTCTATACATATCTTTACACACTTACGATCCGACTATTCATCGCGGTTGCGCAAGTTGCGCTGAAGCCAGCGTTACTCAACCCTAATCTTTTCGGCACGTCCTTCTCCGTCTGCCGCAGTGCTGCTCTCGCTCGTCTGCGCCACCACCATCGCAGGGCCCCGCCGTCTGCTCCAAACGTCGTCTAACAAACGTTGTAGGTCGCACCGTCACGGTCAACAAGTTTGGAAGGACGACGGTCCAGTCATCTTTGGATCTGCCCTCATGCTTCCGACGCATCTCCCCTCGTGCTCCCTTCGCATCTCCCATCGTGCTTCCTTCGCATCTCCCCTCGTCCTTCCTTCGCATGTCCTCTCCTTCGTCCTTCTTCTCGCATGCTTCCGCCGTCCTCCGCTGGTTTTCCGTTCTTTTGTTTTTTTTTTTTTCCGTATACCAACATCGTTTTATCCGCTTTTTCCTTGTCCCGCAGACCAAGGGTGGGGAATTCTGACGGTCCCCCGTGCTTTAACTGGAACGTGTTCCCTGCGTGCTAATGTGTAAGCGCCACCGTGACAGCACATTACGTCACATACGTCACTTCTCGAGTTATCCCGACAAAACTTTACTAGAGGTTACAAAGTAGATTTATCAAATGCTTTTCTTTAGCAACACTGCACTGACAGTTGCGTTTCTGTTCTTCCATCATGCTCTCGCATCATCTGCCTGTCTCACTCCCTCCACACCCCATCCCTACGTTCCCTCCTCGTCCTCTCCCCGCAGCACGGATAAGCTCCAGACCATCTCCTTCGCCTTCACCATTGGGGGCTTAACCGGCAGTCCACCAAGCTTCACCGCTCCCAACTTTTACAGAAATGCCACCAACTCCCTCGTGGGCTACATTCCCTGCACGGCGCGGGTGGGCCCAACAAAGGGCACATGGAACTGCAGCGTATCAATCTCCACTCCGCTCACTACGCCTTACCAGCATGTCACCCCACTCAAGCAGTTGGTTGACGCAGGCGTGTTCACGAATCCCTCTAGCTTCTATGTTCAGGTCAGAGCTAGCAGCCTCACGGTGAGGAGGACAATTAACGCAACTGTAACGACCTTCTAACAGAGTGGCGTTTCTGATGGTGGTTCCTTCGTTTGTCATGTTGTAGTTACCATATTCACTATCTTGTTCCCAATCATTCTATATTTACTGGTATATTGCTACTAATATGAAGCATCAGTTTCTTGATACTCATACTCATCCAGCTTGCATTGACACGAAAACTAAGCAGGGAACGAAACAGCTGCATTAACGGGACAATTTGGTTACTCGTAGTACTCGCGCATCCACCATCGCAAACCAGGAAAATGGTTTCAAGATGGTGGAAGCTTGAAGACTCGTTACACAGGTTTGCACAAACAAGATAGTGCTTTCATTGTCTCAAAGTAGGTCTTAAACGAAACTAGATAAAGAAATGGTTGTGATTCGAAGCCACAGCGCTGACTCAAGTCACGGGCGTCTGGCACCTGGGGGCATCAGAGTGCGAGGTGCTTAGCAGATATTCGGATGCGGCTCGCAGCCAGTCACTCTGCCATACATTTCGCCGTCGCTAACGGGGCACTCAGTTTGAGCGCTGTACTGTAGCGCCGTTGATTCGTGTCGTGTTCCATCGCGTGGCTTCCACACAGTGGCTGGCAAAGCGACCAGCTGCGCTGGATGAGTTCATCCAACGAGATGAGAGGCGTATCCAGCGGAGAGGAAAACCACGAGCTCCTGAAATCGCGAATGCTGCAGAAAAGACGAGGGGAGGAACTCGCATGGCGCTGTACGGCCTTCCTGCGTCCTGGATTCCGTATAAGAGCATCAAGCGCATCTGCTGGCTTCATTCGACTCAGCCTCGTGCTTTACTAGGCACACATTTTTCATCCACTCCACCTCACGGCGAGTGGCTTGCCTCAAGTTCAAGTTGCAACCTTGAGCCTTATGGCCATGGCCCCGATGACGTCACTCTCTCGTTCGCTGTCGCTCGACGTTAAGCGCCTCGCCGTCGTCATCGCTGGTGAGCTTACCGCGTAGTACGCGCCCTGCTATATCGCCTCGTCACTTTTGTCATGTCTCCTCGTCGCCCTCGCGTGTCGCTCTCCCTCGCCTTGGCCGCGAGTCGTTCCGCGGAGGTATCGCGCCGCCGCGGCGCGCGGGAGTGCATCATCCCCACATCCCCTCCGGATTTCGCTTGACATTCGCTGCGCAACTGGCGCTGGTTCATACTGAGTCCGCTCGTTTGCTCTGTAAATAATAGGCAGATTCTGTTGATAATTCCCCTAATCTTCCTTCGGAGACTTTGATTTTTTGCTTGAAGCCACTGAACCCTAATCTTTCCGGCACGTCCTGCTCCGTCTGCAGTGCTTCTCTCGCTCTCCTGCAGCGCCATCGCGGGACCCCGCCGTCTGCTGCAATTAAAGAACAAACGGTGTAGGTCGCAGTCAACACGCTTAAAAGGACCATGGTCCAATCATCATTGGATGACTCTCCTGCTTCCTTCGCTTCTCCTCGCATGCTCCCGTCGGTTTCCGTTGGTTTTCCGTTCATTCTTTCTGTCAACCAACATCGTTTTGTGATTATCCCGTTTTTCCTTGTCACGCAGACCAAGCGTGGGAAATTCTCTCGGCCCCTCGTGCTTTATTTGGAACGTGTTCCCTGCGAGCTAATGTGTAAGCGCCACAGCACATTATAGCACAATGTCACTTCTTGAGTGATCCTGTCAAAAACTATAGTAGAGGCTACACAGTAGAAGCATTTGAATGCTTATTTTAGCACAATTGCACTGACAGTTGCGTTACTATTCCTGCACGACCGATCTCCCATCATACTCTTGCTTCATATGCCTCTCTCACTCCCTCCAAAGCCCGCCCGCACCTGCCCCTCCTCGTCCTCTTCCCTTGCAGCACGGATAAGCTCCAGACCATCTCTTTTGTCTTCACCGTTGTAGGCTGAACCGGCAGTCCGCCAGGCTTCACCGCTCCCAGATTCTACAAAAGTGTCACCAACTCCCCCGTGGGCTACATTCCCTGCACGGCACGGGCGGATACAACAAGGGGCACGTGGAACTGCAGCGTATCAATCTCCACTCCGCTTACTACGCCTTACCAGCCTGTCAGCCCACTCAAGCAGTTGGTTGATGCCGGCGTGTTCACGAATCCAGCTAACTTTTATGTTCAGGTCAGAGGTAGCACTGTCCTGGTGAGGAGGACAATCGGAGCAAACGTAACGACCTACTGACGGAGTGGCGTTGTCTGCCATGCCATCCCATCGCTAGCGTCGGGTGTGGCATGAACCACCGGGGTTTGATCTGATTCGATGCCTTCTAGAAAACCAGGGCTTCAGATTCGTTTTGGGCCACCCTTAGTAATCAGGGTTCTAGGTATAGTCAACCCTGATGCGTAGGGTAAAATTTTTGTTTCCCTGTCAAATGCAGGGTAAAAAAACAGTAAGTCTGTTTGGGCAGGGTATTCTTAAACATTTATGGTTAGTTAAAATCCCGAAGCACTCAAGATCAACGGCTAGTATTTCAGTTGGTACAATTGCGCATTACATCGCAAGGTCGCAAGTTCAAATCTTGCATTTTTATCGTTTTGCAGGGACCTGTATAGTGTTTCGTCTCGCTACGGAGCACTCAGTACCAGTATAGCTTGGATTGTACACTGTACAGTCAGAGTAATGTGTTCCTTATGCTGCTTTTCAAAGGTTATTGAAAAACTTACACTTTCTGGCCTAGGGTAAAAAATCCACTACCCTGCCTGTGAAAGGGTAACTGAAAAAAAGCGGCCGCCAGTCAGTGCAAAAAGGGTATTTTACCCTGATAACGAGAGGCCTGTAGAAAACCTTCAATGAGGCTTGTTTGCTTCACTAGCTATGCTTAGCCATTTGATGTGAAGCCTGTGTTTGTCGTTTTGTGGTTACTCACTATATCTTGTTCTCAATCATACTATATGTACTATTCTATGATATTAGTGCCTATATACCTAACGAGCATCGGTTTGTTATACTCATCCAGCTTTGATTGACACTAGGGAAAGAAACTTCGTGTGAATGTTTCACACTTGGTGTAAAACTATGTTTATAATTTCGATAGGCTGTAGTGACGCAACTACTGTATCCTCCCCATTCCAAATCTGCTTGTTCCTTTTCCGTCATAATGCAAGGCATTCTCGAAGCCCCTAGAGTCCGTTCCCCTAGCAAACAACGCATAGGGTATTTCTCGTGCGGCGAGCATATCAGACGTTTCACAACCGTGTGCAAAATGCTCGTGCGTTGGCGTCACTAGACTCCTCTCGCGTTGAGCCCAAAGGCAATGGAGCGCCGGAAAGGCCTGCTTCGATTAGCTCGTAGCGCGGCGGCTCGTCTTGATCGGCCGCCAGTTGCGCCGCTGTCTTGCGTGCCCTCTCGTTCCGTGCCCGGTGCTGCCCTTTCGTCCACGTCTACCTCCTTGACCTATCAGCCCTCGCCTAGTGCTCCCGATGGCGCAGCAGTTCGCGATTTGAGTGATTCGAGGGATGCGAGAGCCACGACTGCTTCCCATTCCCCCTCGGAGGAGGCGTTGCGGCGATCCGCAATTGACAGTCGCGAGATTTCCGCGAGCCGGACGCCACTCCCATTCGCGAAGACGCGGGGTGCTGGGCTAAGTTTCGCGGAGACGGTAGCAGTTGCGCGGCTGACGCGGCTCGGAGCCGAGATAGCCGCTGACGGCAAAGGCGGGAGAAGGTTTTCGCACAGCCGCGCGATTCGCCGCCGGGTCGCCTCCGTTCCTACGACGCCGTGCGACGAGACGCCGTCACCCGCGTCGCACGAGACAAGGCAAACCAGATCAGCAACAGGCGACGACCCGATCGCGAATCAAGATCCGTCGCATGACGCAGGTGCGACGACGTCGCTTGACTCGCAATCGTCGCCTAGGAGGGTCGTCTCGATCGACAAAGTCCCCGCCGACCTACTCGAACTCTTCCGCGGGTGGGGGATGGACGACCGCGAAGTGCGCCGCGTGTTGCGCGCGCGCCCGGGGCTCGCGCGAAGCGGCATGGCGGAGAAGGTCCTCCCGGGCGTGCGCGTGCTGCTGGCGTGCGGGGTGCCTCCGCGCGACATGGCGCTCGGCGCGCTGTACGATTCCGTGTGGCTCGGGCAGCCCGCGGAAAAAATAAATGAGGTTGTGCGTTATCTGAACGAGCTCGGGCTGACCGACGGAGAGAGAATCGGGACGGTTCTGAGGAGATTTCCGCGCGCCTTCGCGTTCGATCCGACCACTCAGTTGCAGCCACGTGTCCAGAAGCTGTTGGACATGGGAATCAAGGACACGTCATACATTATCAAAGCCTGCCCACGTCTGCTGCAATTATCATCCGAACGGGTTCAGGAGAGATTAGATTTCCTCGCACAGGTGGCAGGCGAGGGCCACGTCAGCGCCATCGTGCAGCGCCAGCCGTACATCCTCACCCAGCCAATCTCGGAGCTCCAATCCAAGCTCGACGCCTTCCAATCAATCCTAGGGTCAGAAACGCTCGCACGGAAAGTCTTCCGGCAGATCCGACGGCTGCCAGCGCACTCAGCGAGCAAGATGATCTCCACCTTCCATACCCTCTGCGAGATCGTCGGGGGGGCGGTCAACGCCCAACAGGTGGTCGAGAAACGCTCCAGCATCCTCGCTACCAACTCCACCACCATGCTGTCAAACTTCAACCACTGGCGCGCCCTTCTCCCGCAGCTTTCCCCCTCAGAACTCTCCCACCTCTTCGTGAGATACCCCGCTCTGCTGCACCTGAGCTGGAAGAGCAACATCGCTCCCAAGGCGGAGTTCTTTCTGCGTGAGCTTGGGCTGTCGGAGGCCGCTGTGGTGGCCGTGCCGCTGGTGGCATGCTACAGCCTGGAGCAGCGGATCAGGCCGCGGATACAGCGGGTGCGGGATGCGGGGGTTAAGGTTGTGGAGAGAGGTGGCGGGATTGTGTGCCTGCCTCGGTGTGTGGTTGATGGGGAGCAAGAGGGTGGTGGTGACGGTGGGAGTGGTGCTACAGAGGAAGAAAGCAATGGTGGTGGGGGTAGAGTAGATGATGTGCGGAAGGGTAAGGGTGACGCTGGTGCTCGCCGTCTAGGGAGGAAAAGACGAGATGCTTTCTCAGGTGTGAGGGGCAGGGAAAGTGAGCGGCTTGAGGGTGGGTCGAACGCTGCAGAGATTAGTCTAAGCACATTGATTCAGGTGAGTGACAGCAAGTTCGAGCAATTGCTGGACAGGCTAGTCAACGCCCCTCTTTCGTACTTCCTAAGGCCTAACAAGTCGTTCACGTTAGGAGTGGTAAATTGTGATGGGGCTGGTTGATGATGTGGAATACACCGGTAACTAGTAAATGAAATCGTCATTATTGTTCAGAGCCAGCATCACCAGTCTGAAGCGGTTCAATTCAACTGGCACCGAATTGCTCGTTGAAAGGAGCCAATGTTCAGAAATATCTGATTTCGCATGTGTTTTTAATGGTTCGAACAGGCGAGCGTGTACCGAACTGTAACCTGATTAATAACATGGCAAGGCCAATGTGAATCGAGTGTTTGAGCGAAATTGACACATACAGCTTCTTCTCTATGCATGCTGTTTATGACAGATACATCTGTTTGTAAGGTGTAACCAGCTAATAGAAAGGTGGTAGTGTAGTTTGTATGGTGGTCCTGCAACACTTTCCAGAGGCTTCCCTGCTGCGACCTCCTAACGAGGTTGCACTGACGGTCGCGAAATCTCAATAGCGTTTACACACTGTGCTTGCGCATTATATGCGCGTGACGAAACACAAGCGACCGCTTACGAGATTCTGTAACGAGGAATGGCAGTCGTGGGAAGTTATCCCACTGCTTTCACCCTGAGCCGTGGCGCGTCCCCCCAGTTTGACCATGGCTCCCTACAGCTGACCCTGTATTGGTGTAAGAACTTGTTTGGGTTGATCCGCCTTTCAAGCAAGGTGCATGTGCTAATCAGGTATATGTTTTTCCTCGAACACTCCGCCTATAAACGTCTGTTTTCGCACTCGTCTGCATCGGTGCAAAAGCGTGTTGTCTGGTAAACGCTTTGATAAGCGGATTCGTCTGTTCACCAGCGGCATCTGATTGGTCCAGCGTCTCGCCAGGCTGTCATTTGCTGGTGCTCTCGACTCGCTCCACCGTTGGATAGACCTGCGGTAACGTGCTTGCTGGTCGAGAACATGCTAGTCTTTGTATCGTCCGACGTTCCGACTGGACATAGTAGAGACTCGTTGTCGGGGTAGGGAGAGCAGTGAACCTCGTCCTCGTGTTAGGGAAAGCAGTGGATACTAGTCAGCAATTGGCGTCTCTTCCATGGCGCACCGTGTATCCTCTGCCGACCGTAGCCGATGCGTCTTGTGAGGCTCAGTTCGGAATTCATTCGCCTCTCTACCGATGCCATTCTTTTCGCCTCGCTAGCCGGACCTCTCCCTTCGTCGTCGCGCGTGAGGTCCTCGATAGTAGCTCCACCGTTATAGTCACAACGCGCGTCTGACCTTTCATTTGAAGAAGGCAGACTTCAAGTCTTCATTATCAGGGCGAGCGATGTCGATAGGATCACCCATGGTATACTCGTTTTATGACCATCCGCGCTAGCAGTAGTTCGGATCACGAATCTCTTTCAGTTGCACCTTATCCTCCGCGTGACTTTCCGTCATCCATGGCGCAGCTCCCCGTAGCCATCGCCTTTAGCCTCGCGGGAGGCGTGGCGCTCCTCCTCCGCCGCCGCGGCCGGCGGAAGCGGGACGACGCGATCCGCGAATCAGCGGAGGAGGTCGCGGAGGCGGGGGAAGGCGGGGAGGGGGAAGGCGGAGAGGGGGAGTATGGGGACCCGGGGGAGGACGACGAGGAGTTGGCGGAGGGGGATGCGGGGGACGAGGCGGAGATGGGGGAGGAGGGGGACGCGGGGGAAGCGGCGGAGGCGGCAGCGGGGTTGAAGCTGCTGAGGGAGGAGTTTGAAGCAGCGTTGTTCGATGGGAAGGAGTTTGATATTGACTGGGATGAGTTCCCCTACCACATCAGGTACGGCGTGCGTGCGGACAAATCTCCGTGCCACATGAGGTACGGCATGCCTTTGAAAGAAATCCATTGCTCAAACCACCCGAATTCCAGCCATCCATCCTCCCTCCCAACCATCCTGTTCTCCCCTTTCCCCCTCCTACCCCTCCTACCCCTTCCCCCTCCCCCTTCCCCGCCCGCCTAGCCCACCCTTCCTCCCCCACTTCTTTCGCGGCAAGGAGCACCTTGTGCGTCCGTCTTGGCACATCTCGTTCAATCAGTGCCATAATCCATTCCCCCCACTGCCCCATCGCTCTCTTCGTTCAATCAGTGCCATAATCCATTCCCCCCACTGCCCCATCGCTCTCTCCACCCTGCTCGCATCGCAGCAACCATGCCAAGGATCATGTGCTTCTTCTTCCTTGCATGTCATTGCCAAATTCATGTGTTCCATCCATGCTTTCTCCCATCCCGTTTTCCTTCCCCCTCCTTCCCCCTAAACCCCCAACCCACACCCCCTTTTTTTCCCTCTCGCAGCAACCACGTTACCACGCCAAGGAGCATCTGCTGGCGACCTTCCTCGTGCATCTCATCTCATCACCAAATCCCATGTGTTGCACTTCTTTCCGCTCCCCTCTCCGCCCCTCCTCCCCCGCCTCTCCCTTGTCGCAGCAACCACGCCAAGGAGCAGCGCCTCCCGGCGTCCTTCTTCGTGCATCTCATCACCATGCTCCCTCCCTCGCATCCCACCCTTCTCCCCCCCAACCCACCCGTTGCCTTCCCTCTCGCAGCAACCAAGCCAAGGAGCATCTACTCACGTCCTCCTTCATGCATCTCATCACCGTGCTCCCTCTTTTCTCCCATTCCTCCCCTTCGCTTCCGCCCACCCAACCCAACCCCCTAACCTCCATTTTTCTCACAGCAACCACGCCAAGGAGCATCTACTTGCGTCCTTCTTCGTGCATCTCAAGCGCACCCGCCTTGCCAAGTTCGTCGCCTGCTTCCCCAACCTCAGCAACTGGATCCTCCTCTCCGGACCTCACGGTGAGCCTCGGCCCGCACCACAGGACTAGGTTCGGGCGCAAGCAGGTTCGTGCATCACAGAGCTCGCTTTGGTCAATATTTCTGCCGCTACAACCCCAAAGGGCACTCACACGAGTTAACTCAAGTCTGCTTGAAGGTCATATCATGGTCAAGTGCTTTGGCACTTACAAGTAACACGACAGAAGAGGCGTGTATACATCGCCGTTTCCTTGTCCCACGTGCAGGCAGCTAGGTGAATCAGGACACGTTGGTGAGGGCCATCGCCAGGAAGCTCAACGCACGCCTCTTGTTGCCCTCTCTGCTCTCCCAATTCTCCCCATGCCCACCCCCCACGTTCTCTGTTATGTGCGAGCAGGCAGCGAGGTGTATCAGGACACGCTAGTGAGAGCCATCGCCAGGAAGCTCAACGCGCGCCTCATTGCTGTTGACGCTGACAAGTTCCTCTCCCCTGTGAGTGCTGCCCTGCTGCGCCTCCCCGACTAGCGCGCGCGCACATTGTCGCTGCGTAACGTAACCAAACCAGCAGAAACGGTGGAGTTTTTTCAAGCAAGTGAGGCGTGCGTTAGAGTGTGTTTCAATCTCCCGCTCCTTTCCTCCATCCGTCCTGTACCCACTGCCCTCCCCTGACTGACTGCCTGCCTTTTCCTCCGCCCCTGCCCGGTCAACCCCGCCTTTCGAGTTTCGCCGTCCCTATGGCCTGCTTCCGTACCATGGGCTCACTCATGTGTCCACTGTTGCTGTGTGCCGTGGTGCGGCATGGCATGGCATGGTGTGTGCATGGCATGGGGGGCAGGCGGACATGTCATCGGTGCCAAAGAGGAGGCCAGCACCAGACAAGCCGCGCGACTCTCTTGACTCCGCAGGCCTCTCCGACTCGCTCGACTCGCCTCTCGTAAGCTCCTCTCCTCTCCGTGCCCCCCTCCCTGCCCCCCCTTTGCCCCCCTCCCTGGCCACTTCCCGCCCCCTTCCTCTCCCCTCCCTGCCTTGCCCCTCCCTGCCTTGCCCCTCCCTGCGTCGCCCCTCCCTGGACCCTCCCTGGCCCGCCCTTCCCTGCCTTGGCCCGTCCCTCCACCCCCGCCCCTCCCCATCCGTTTTTCCGCTCCATTCCCCTTGTGCTGCTGTGTCTAGTCCTCGTCTCCCTTTTTTCGCGGCCCTTTTTCGTTGCTCCAAGCGCTCACCCCATTCACACGCTGTCTACCAGAGTTGCCCCTTCCCTCCTCCCTTGTAGCAAGGCATCTGTAAGCCCCCTCCCGCCCTTCCATCACCCCTCCCGCCCTTCCATCACCCCTCCCGCCCTCCTCCGCAGTATGCGAGTTTGTCGAAGCATCTGGTGGCCATGGCAGCAATGATGGCCGTCGGGGTGGCTGTGGGGTGTGCAACTTTTGAAATGTCTCGAAGGCCTTTCTCCCCCTCTTTCCACTACCTTCCCCCACAAGCCCCCCCCTCTTCCCCCTCACCCCTCGCTCTACCTCCTGCAGTATGCGAGCTTTGCAAAGCATCTGGTGGTCATGGCAGCAATGATGGCTGTAGGAGTGGCAGTGGGGAACACACTATGCACACCCTTTACCTGTCCCACCTCTTCCCGTCCTCCGCCCACGTCCCGCCTTGCTCCCCTCCCCTCGCCTCCCGCCCTCCTCCTGCAGTATGCGAGTTTGGCGAAGCATCTGGTGGCCATGGCAGCAATGATGGCCGTCGGGGTGGCTGTAGGGAACACTCTGGGCACAGGCAGCGGCAGCGGCAGGGGCACAGGGGGTACAGGGGCAGGCGGGGACAGCAACAGTGGCGCTTACTCTCAGAGCGGCGAGGGGGAGGGGGAGGGGCGGGGCGGCGGGGATGACTACGGGTTTGGAAGTGGGGGAGGGGAGGAGGATGGGGCGACCAGGGCTCTGAGAGTGGGTACGTGTTTTGGGTGGGGAGCGGTGGAAGGGGAGTCAGAGTGGTGGTGGAGTTTTGCTTGTGAGACGAGTTTGCAGATGGAGAGTATTGTGAATGGGGGAAGACGAGAGGAGAGGAGAGGAGAGGAGAGGGGGGGGATGAGAGGACAGGAGGAGAGGGGGAAAGGAAAGAAGAGGAGTGGGGAGGAAAGGAAGGGAGAGGAGAGGAGAGTTCTTTTTAGTGGTCGGGTGCTTGGGTGCACATTTTGACTGCTTCCATGGCTCAGTGATCCCTGACCGGTCCAACGTAGCTGCCTCTCTATTCCTTGCCACTGCACTGAAAAGGCTCACACTTGCAAATTTTAGAGCCCCACGATTTCTTCGCGAGGGTTTTGGACAACTGACAGCCCTAGAGACGCTGCATCTAAATAAGCTCCGGTGGCTCAGCAGCATGTCCGCATCAATTGGCGATCTGAGGAGCTTCAAGGTGCTGAATATATGAGAATGCAGCATGCTGCGGTGGCTTTCAGACACCCTGAGTCTGCTATCGTCGCTCGAGCTTCTAAAGAATGTGACTGCTTTTGTATCACCATCAGATTGCAGTAATCTCTTTTTTTTAGCAGCTCGAGGGACGATAGCAGACTCAAGGAGTCTGGAAGCCGCCTCAGCACGCTGCATTCCCATATAGTTAGCTGTTTTGAGGCCCCTTTGATCGCCAAGGGATACGGGCAGGCAGCTGAGCGGACAGCACTTAACCAGACACAACATCTCCAGGGAAGTCAGCTGCTTGAAATCCTCGGGAAGAAATTGTGAGGCTCCAAAAATTTCAAGCGTTAGTGCGGTGGCAAGGAATACGGAAAGAGACTGGTGGAAGAAAATCTTAATGTGATTTTCAGGGAGGACTTTTCAGGAGTCTGCTTTTCTGTGATTTACAAACTGCTCACGCGCCAATGTGACATGCGGTGTGTGCGGTGCGTATGTCTCACCTTGCCAGGGGACCGTGTCACCTATGTCAACGTTGACGGCTACAGCACGGACGTGCCCGTCCCCAGGTGTGTGTTTCGCAGCTGCCGCTCGGAAGCTTAGTTACGGTCTAGTATCATTCAGCTGTTGCAGTAGCAGCATTAGTGTGCGCAGCATTTGGGAGATATGGTTGGTGGTGTGGCGTTCCCTAGATGATGCAGCGACAGTTTTAGCGACAGTGTTAGCGACAGTGTTAGCGACAGTGTTAGCGAGCATACTCTGCTATTCTGCACCATCGTGCACCTCTCGAATGGTCCTCGTGTTGATATAATATATGCTGGTCGCTCTCTCACTCGTCGTCCACTCCCGGGTCAACCTGTGCGCCAATTTCAATAAGTCACCTCTCCACCTGGAAGTACCCATGCGTTCAGCTCTTCTTTCTCCTTGAACCGTTCTTTCCCCCACTCGCCCCTCTAGTTGCCCCTCCGGGGAGCCACAACGGTGGGTGGGTGGGTGGGTGGCGGTGTATGAGACGAGACGGTGAGGATGCGGTTTGAATCGCCTGTCAAATTGCACCATCATCTCGCACATCGCCTGTCAACACCTGAGGCGCCGATGCACTCACCTCGTCCTTACTCCCCTGCTTTTCCCTCCTTCCCCACCCTTCCAATCGACCCCCAGGGGAGCAACGGGGCAGGTGGCGTCGACATACGAGATGGTGGGTGTCCCATGTGGCTTGCTGCCTGTGTCCTCACAACTCCCCCTTGTCTGCTGCTTTCTCTCTTCCCACTCCTCCCAGCCGCCCCCCTCGCGGGGCCACGGGGCAGGTGGTGGCGACGTATGAGACGGTGGGGGTGCGCTTTGACTCGCCCGTGCCGGGAGGCCACTCCCTCAGCGGCCTCTGTGACGGGGGGCACGGCCACATCTGCTATGGTGCGCTGTGGTGCTATGCGGTGCAGCGTAGAGTACTTGGATGGATGGTGATGGGGTGATTGATGATGGGGATGGGATGGTTATTTGTGTGAGTGTGTTGAAGGGGGGGGGGGAGGGTGTGGCAGTTGTTTCCGACGGTAGTTGTGTGCGCATGTCGGTTTTTTCGTGTGTGGTGCACATGGGTGTGCATGGGTGCACATGAGTTAAGTGCTTGGGTGACCTTTGAATTGTTTTTTTTTTCTGATTACCTTTGGCTGCTTGGGGCTAGGCATGATCATTAGGCCCGACCCGACCCGACCCGACCCGACTTGGGCGGGCCAGCCGGGTTCCGGGTCGGGTCGGGTCGGGTCGGAACTTCAAAAAATCCTGGCCCGACCCGGGTATCGGGTGCCGGGTCAGGCGTGACCCGCCCCCGGGTCGGGTCGGGTAGGGGCCGGGTCGGGTCGGGTCGGGCCAGGACCCCATATGCAGGGTAAGAGGTTCCTAAGTTGGAAAAAACGCTAGTTTCAAGTTGCGTATTGAGTTTATACGCATCTAGAATTCGTACGCTGCGGATTTTTCTAAATTTCGCCCAATTTGGCTCGGGCTGACCGGAAAAAAAAAATCAGATGAGTTCGCGATCTGGCGAACTCAAATTTGAGTCTCGAAATTCAGATCCGAGTTCGCGCGTTCCCTCTTATCCACCGCTCACAACCCACCTTCACCCCATCCAATTTGTTGCCAACTTCTACCAGACTCACTCAATGTCAGGCCGCTTTTCCCTTCAATAATCTTTGCGTTCGATTTCTTCCTCTTCACTTTGACGATGACCTACTACAGCAGCAGTTAGGTAATGGATTACTACAGCAGCTCCGGTCTAGGGTTTAGACATTGACTTCGCGATCTGCTTTAGTGCAACTTGTCGAGGGAGGAAAAGTCGGGTTGGGCCAAATACTCGACCCGACTTAGGGCGCGGTACCCGAAACCGGGTCGGGTACGACTTCGGGTCTAAATCTGACCCGACCCGACCCGACCCGGTTTCGGGTGTCGGGTCGACCCGACCCGACCGGGTAAACCCGACCCGACCCGGCCGGGTCAGCGCTTCAAAATGCCTGACCCGACCCGCCGGGGCAGGATGATCATGCCTACTTGGGGCGGTCCCGTTCAGATGCCACGCTTACTTGTTCCCTCAGTACCTTCCTCGTACACCCTACAATCTCTCCAGTCATTTCTCGATTTCAACACACATCCACCTCTCACTCTCTCCCTCCCTACATCGCCCACGCGTCTCTTTCCCTCCCCCCTCCTTCCTTTCCTCCAAATCTACCTCACAGTGTATCTGACTCTCACTTCTCTCTGCACAACTCTCTGCACCGCTCTGCACCTTGCTGCTCCTCGCTCCACCCTGTCTCCTCCCTCTTCTCGTTTCTTTCCTGACTCACCACATGTCTCTCCATGCCACACCCCTTTTCTGTTCTCTCCCTGCCACGTCAGCATCTGAGCTGCTATTGGAGGAATCATCCAGCAGTGTGAAGGAGTGTGCAGCCACCGTGGCTCTCATGCAGGTACGGTACCATGGCAGACATAGAGGCACGGTACTGTGGCAGACAGATAGGCACGGTATGGTACCATGGCAGAGACATAGGCATGGTACCATGAAGGAGAGATTGTTACAGTAACGTGGCAGACGGAGAGGTGCAGTGCCATGGCTGGGGTATTGCAGTGTGGAAGGTGACTGTGTATTAAGATGCATGCAAGTGGCAGGAGAGTAGCAAGGGACTTGGCAAGTGACGTGGTTTGTGAGGCGCCTCAAAAAAATCTTTTGAGGCGCCTCAAAAATCATGCAAGTGGAAGGAGAGTAGCAAGGGACTTGGCAAGTGATGTGGTTTGTTGCACTGCAATGCAACTCGTTTGGTTTTCTAAATGCAAGTCAACATGCATGCAACTCAACGCAGTGTTTCTCGGCTCCATTCATCTCACCATTCATCTCGCCATTCGTCTCACCATTCATCTCGCCATTCATCTCGCCATTCGTCTCGCCATTCGTCTCGCCATTCGTCTCACCATTCGTCTCGCCATTCATCTCGCCATTCGTCTCGCCATTCATCTCGCCATTCATCTCGCCATTCATCTCTCCATTCATCTCGCCATTCGTCTCGCCATTCCTCTCGCCATTCATCTCGCCATTCGTCTCGCCATTCGTCTCGCCATTCATCTCGCCATTCGTCTCGCCATTCGTCTCGCCATTCGTCTCGCCATTCCTCTCGCCATTCCTCTCGCCATTCCTCTCGCCATTCATCTCGCCATTCGTCTCGCCATTCGTCTCGCCATTCGTCTCGCCATTCGTCTCGCCATTTGTCTCGCCATTCGTCTCGCCATTCGTCTCGCCATTCATCTCGCCATTCGTCTCGCCATTCATCTCGCCATTCATCTCGCCATTCATCTCGCCATTCATCTCGCCATTCATCTCGCCATTCATCTCGCCATTCATCTCGCCATTCATCTCGCCATTCATCTCGCCATTCGTCTCGCCATTCGTCTCGCCATTCATCTCGCCATTCATCTCGCCATTCATCTCGCCATCCATCTCGCCATTCATCTCGCCATTCATCTCGCCATTCATCTCGCCATTCATCTCGCCATTCATCTCGCCATTCATCTCGCCATTCATCCCGCCATCTCGCCATTCATCTCGCCATTCATCTCGCCATTCATCTCGCCATTCATCTCGCCATTCATCTCGCCATTCATCTCGCCATTCATCTCGCCATTCATCTCGCCATTCATCTCGCCATTCATCTCGCCATTCATCTCGCCATTCATCTCGCCATTCATCTCGCCATTCATCTCGCCATTCATCTCGCCATTCATCCCGCCATTCATCTCGCCATTCATCTCGCCATTCATCTCGCCATTCATCTCGCCATTCATCTCGCCATTCATCTCGCCATTCATCTCGCCATTCATCTCGCCATGGTAGCCCACGTCAAGCTCGTTGTTGAATTGGGATCCTTGAAATGCCAATCCGCTGACTTTTGAGTCGACTCAAAAGTCAGCCCTGAAATGGCAATCCGCTCCTTGCACGCTTCGCACACTCACGTCTTCTGCATCTGTTTGCTGCCCGCCCAATCAGGTGCTGGAGAAGGAGCTGCCACGTGGACCAATCATTGTCTTCATCCGCGACGCGTCGCGATTGGCCGAGGCTTCCTCGAGTGCCGCCCAGTTTGAGTCTCAAATGAGTCGTCTGGTGGGGCCCATCGTGTTTGTCGGCTCCGTGGCTCGCTCCGAATCCACCTCTGCGGTGGCTGCCAAAGATGCGGTGAGTGGTCGGAGAGCGGGAGAGAGAGGGAGCTCTTACCTTGACTGGCTGCATGTCTCCTTGCATTGTGTGCTTGCTCGCTCCATTTGAGTCGTCTGGTGCGGCCCATCGTGTCTGCTGGCTCCAACGCTCGCTCGCTCCTCCTCTTCCTCCTCCTCCTCTTCCTCCTCCTCCTCCTCCTCCTCCTCCTCCTCCTCCTCTTCCTCCTCCTCCTCCTCCTCCTCCTCCTCCTCCCCCTCCCCCTCCTCCCTCTCCTCCTCCTCCTCCTCCTCCTCCTCCTCCTCCTCCTCCTCCTCCTCCTCCTCCTCCTCCTCCTCCTCCTCCTCCTCCTCCTCCTCCCCCTCCTCCTCTCCTCCTCCTCCTCCTCCTCCTCCTCCTCCTCCTCCTCCTCCTCCTCCTCCTCCTCCTCCTCCTCCTCCTCCTCCTCCTCCTCCTCCTCCTCCTCCTCCTCTTCCTCCTCCTCCTCCTCCTCCTCCTCCTCCTCCTCCTCCTCCTCCTCCTCCTCCTCCTCCTCCTCCTCCTCCTCCTCCTCCTCCTCCTCCTCCTCCTCCTCCTCCTCCTCCTCCTCCTCCTCCTCCTCCTCCTCCTCCTTTGCTGCTGCTGCTGCTGCTGCTGCTGCTGCTGCAGCTGAGAAAGATGTTGATTAGAGAGTAAGGTGATGGGGTGACAGCGAGGGTGACGGGTTGACGGCTAAGGCTGAGACAAGAGGAGACGGAGGAACAATGTTTTATTCAATAAAGGACCATTCGAGGAATGAGGCTTGAGTAGCGAGGGGAAGGGGACCCCTTGAGTTGTCATGAAGAGCCCTGTGCTTTGTCTCCCTCTGCGTTTTGTGTCTGTTGCCTCTCCCACTTACTCTTTTGCCGGCCTCTCCCACTTACTCTTTTGCCGGCCTCTCCCACTTACACTTTTGCCGGCCTCTCCCACTTACTCTTTTGCCGGCCTCTCCCACTTACTCTTTTGCCTGTCCCTCCCACTTGTCTCGTTTCCTTGCCTCTCTCCCCGGCTCCCTCCCCCTGTGCCTTGACCTCAGGATGCAGCAGAGGGGGCGGCAGGGGGAACGGCAGCAGCTGCCGGGCCTGCCAGCACGGCTTGGGAGCCTCTCAGTGACATGTTTCCGAACCGGTTTGTGGTTCGGCAGCCCAGGGCAGGTCCGGCGGCGGAGGTTTGGGCGAAGCTGATGGAGAGAGACGCGCAGCTCATGCAGATGCTGGCCAACCGGCGCATGCTGGAGAAGGTGGGGTCCGGTGTGGGTGTGGTTGTGCCAGCAGAGTTGACTTTTAAGTCGACTCAAAAGTCACTTTGCGTCGACTCATAAGTCACTTGCGTCGACTCATAAGTCACTTTGCGTCGACTCATAAGTCAACCCAACCGGCGGATGGTGGAGAAGGTGGGGTCTGGTGTGAGTGTGGTTGTGGTTGTGGAAGCAAGTGGGTGCAGTTTGCAATAGGAGTGACGGATGGGAGGAACTGAGCGCATGACGCATACCTCTCCTCGTTGTCACTTCTCCCCCCTCTCCCCAACAGGTCATGGCCAGCAATGACCTCACCTGCTCGGACCTGGACAAGGTGTGTTCAGAGTCCACTCAAAGCACGCGCCACCTCCCCCTCTCCCCTCTCTCCCCTCTCTCCCCTCTCTCCCCTCACTCCCCTCTCTCCCCTCTCTCCCCTCTCTCCCCTCTCTCCCGTCTCTCCCCTCTCTCCCCTCTCTCCCCTCTCTCCTCTCCTCTCTCCCCTCTCTCCTCTCCTCTCTCCCCTCTCTCCTCTCCTCTCTCCCCTCTCTCCTCTCCTCTCTCCCCTCTCTCCTCTCCTCTCTCCCCTCTCTCCTCTCCTCTCCTCTCTCCCCTCTCTCCCCATCAGGTCATGGCCACCAACGATCTCACCTGCACTGACTTGGACAAGGTCACTTTTGCCGAGCCTCTGACAGAGGAAGGTGAGGAGGATTGGGTGGGGTGGGAGGTTGCACGGGAAGCAACTAGCGTACGTTTGTGGATCTCCCCCGCCCAGTGCTCTGTGTAAACGCAAATGCCGTAACTGATAAGGTCACTTCGTCCCTCCTCCCTTCACTTCCTCCATTTCCCTTTTCTCCTCCTCTCTCCCTTTTCCTCCACTTCCCCTTCCCTTCGTTCACTTATTTGCATCATCAGAGGTGGAGAAGGTGGTGGGGTTGGCCGCAGCACACGCAATCAACATGCAGTTGGGCGTTCCCTTCACACCTATCCTCCTTCGATTCCTTCACTCTTACCAAGTGACTTTTGAGTCGACTCAAAAGTCACCTCGTTACCATCGCAGCACACGCAATCAATATGCAGACACGCCATCCCTTCATACCTGTCCTCCTTCGATTCCTTTACTCTTACCCCTCCCCTCCCCCCCCCCCCCCCTCCCTCTCTCTTGTCACTGTTTTCCTTTATAAAAAACGGAGCAGGTGGTGGAATGGGCAGCAGGCAGCGCATGCCATCATGCGGTTGAGCGTTCCTTTCGCACCGCTCCTTGTTTGATTCCTTCACTCCTTTCCCTTCCCCCCTTTCCCACTCCTTTGCTTCATTAGAAGCGGAGCAGGTGGTGGGGCTGGCAGCAGCACACGCCATCATGCAGGGCGCAGCAGAGGGGGCGAAGGGAGGGGCCACGGAGACCAGCACGGGGGAGTCAGAGAGAACGGCAAAGGAGAAGGAGGGGGAGCAGGAGGAGAGGAGGGAGGGGAAGGGTGAGGAAAAGGAGGGGGAGGAGAAGGGTAAGGAGGGGGGGAAGGAGGAGAGGGAAGGGGAGGTGGAGGATGGAGAAAGTGACGGAGGCGAGCTTGTCATTTCAGCCAAGAGGTGGGTGCTGGAGTTGCAGCATTAGCAGCGTTGGAGTAGCCACATTAGCAGCAGTGGAGTGACGTCACATTGTAACGCTTCTTGTGATGTGTGATTTTCGTCGTAGGCACATAGAGAAAGTGGAGTGGTGCGAGCATGCATATGGTCGTATGGGTGAAAAGGGATTCTGCATGGCTGAACTCACTTGATACGAGCTGTTGTTGAGAATACTCAAAAACCAGCTCGGATTCTGCATGGCTGAAAGTGGAGTGCGAGCATGCATATGGTCATAAGGGTGAAACGGGATTCTGCATGGCTGAACTCACACCTATCCCTTTCCTCAACCCACCTTTCTCCTCCCCTTCACCTCCTTCCGCTCTGCACCATCATGCACAGCATAGCAACGTCTTACATCTCCTTCCTCACATTCCTCCCCCTTCCTCCTCTCCTTCCCCTTCCACTTCCCTTTTCCTCCATCCTCTCCCCCCCCTCAGTATAATGCACGGCATAGCGCTGCACAGGGGGCTGCAGGAGGAGGCGCTAGAGGTGAAGGCACCCCCAACTGCTGCCAAGGTGGGTGCGCCTCTCACTCATGGGGTGTCCTGGGCATGGGTTGCGCTGGGCATGGGTTGCGCTGGGCACGTGAACAAGTGTGTAGTAGATGAGAACGAGAGAGTGTATGACAGCATGTGACTGCGTGTGAATGCATGTGACTTGCATGTGACTCGCGATCTGTACATGACTCTTCCCTCCTTCCCCCCCGCCGCCACCCAGAAGGTCGCATTAGCTAACAATCCCAAGGAGCGGCTGTTGGCAGAGCAAAGGTTGTCCTTCCAGAGGAGGTGGGGGTCCTTCCAGAGGAGGTGGGGGTCCTTCCAGAGGAGGTGGGGGTCCTTCCAGAGGAGGTGGGGGTCCTTCCAGAGGAGGTGGGGGTCCTTCCAGAGGAGGTGGGGGTCCTTCCAGAGGAGGTGGGGGTCCTTCCAGAGGAGGTGGGGGTCCTTCCAGAGGAGGTGGGGGTCCTTCCAGAGGAGGTGGGGGTCCTTCCAGAGGAGGTGGGGGTCCTTCCAGAGGAGGTGGGGGTCCTTCCAGAGGAGGTGGGGGTCCTTCCAGAGGAGGTGGGGGTCCTTCCAGAGGAGGTGGGGGTCCTTCCAGAGGAGGTGGGGGTCCTTCCAGAGGAGGTGGGGGTCCTTCCAGAGGAGGTGGGGGTCCTTCCAGAGGAGGTGGGGGTCCTTCCAGAGGAGGTGGGGGTCCTTCCAGAGGAGGTGGGGGTCCTTCCAGAGGAGGTGGGGGTCCTTCCAGAGGAGGTGGGGGTCCTTCCAGAGGAGGTGGGGGTCCTTCCAGAGGAGGTGGGGGTCCTTCCAGAGGAGGTGGGGGTCCTTCCAGAGGAGGTGGGGGTCCTTCCAGAGGAGGTGGGGGTCCTTCCAGAGGAGGTGGGGGTCCTTCCAGAGGAGGTGGGGGTCCTTCCAGAGGAGGTGGGGGTCCTTCCAGAGGAGGTGGGGGTCCTTCCAGAGGAGGTGGGGGTCCTTCCAGAGGAGGCCTGGAGGCCGTGAAGGACATTCTTAAGGAACTAGTCATGCTGCCCCTCAGGCGCCCAGAGCTCTTCATACGCGGGCAGCTGACCTTTCCCCATCTTCCCTCCCCCGTTTCCCCCTCTTCCCTGTTGAATTCCACCCCCAATGCAGAAAATCACATCTGCTAACAAGTTCGAAGAGCGGCTACTAGCTGAGGTGGTACCCCCAGACGAAGTCGGGGTGACGTTCAGCCAGATCGGTGCCTTAGAAGCCGTGAAGGACACTCTGAAGGAGCTCGTCATGCTGCCTCTCAGGCGGCCAGAGCTGTTCACGCGCGGGCAGCTGACGCGGCCGTGCAAGGGCATTCTGCTGTTCGGCCCGCCCGGCACGGGCAAGACCATGCTGGCCAAGGCCGTGGCCACCGAGGCCGGGGCGAGCTTCATTAACATATCCATGAGCGCCGTGCTGCACAAGGTGGGTTGGGTGGCTGGTGTGTTGCACGAAATGGATAGCTTAGCAGCAGAGTGGTAGCAGGGTGGAATGCTCTGCTCGTGTGCTGTGCTGCATCTGCATCTGCATCTGCACAGGGACGAGCTTCATCAACATCTTTCTTGAGCGCTGTGCTGCACAAGGTGGGCTGGGTGGCTGGTGTAGAGTAAATGGAAAAGGGGCAAGCGGAGTGCCCATCCCCTCTCCTCTCCTTCTCTGAAACTCCCGTCCCCTTGCCTTGATATTCTCGTCCCTCTTCTCTCAGAAGCCTCCTCTTTCCTTCCTTCGTTCCGTCCGTCCGTCCTTCCCTGCATAAGAGGCTGGGCGTCCTTCCCTGCATAAGAGGCTGGGCGTCCTTCCCTGCATAAGAGGCTGGGCGTCCTTCCCTGCATAAGAGGCTGGGCGTCCTTCCCTGCATAAGAGGCTGGGCGTCCTTCCCTGCATAAGAGGCTGGGCGTCCTTCCCTGCATAAGAGGCTGGGCGTCCTTCCCTGCATAAGAGGCTGGGCGTCCTTCCCTGCATAAGAGGCTGGGCGTCCTTCCCTGCATAAGAGGCTGGGCGTCCTTCCCTGCATAAGAGGCTGGGCGTCCTTCCCTGCATAAGAGGCTGGGCGTCCTTCCCTGCATAAGAGGCTGGGCGTCCTTCCCTGCATAAGAGGCTGGGCGTCCTTCCCTGCATAAGAGGCTGGGCGTCCTTCCCTGCATAAGAGGCTGGGCGTCCTTCCCTGCATAAGAGGCTGGGCGTCCTTCCCTGCATAAGAGGCTGGGCGTCCTTCCCTGCATAAGAGGCTGGGCGAGGCCGGCAAGTCAGTCAAGGCGAACGTTACTCCCTCCTTGGCTCCGCCGCTCGCCTCTCCCTCTCCAACATATCCCCCCGCCCTCCTTCCTCTCCAACATATCCCCCCGCCCTCCTTCCTCTCCAACATATCCCCCCGCCCTCCTTCCTCTCCAACATATCCCCCCGCCCTCCTTCCTCTCCAACATATCCCCCCGCCCTCCTTCCTCTCCAACATATCCCCCCGCCCTCCTTCCTCTCCAACATATCCCCCCGCCCTCCTTCCTCTCCAACATATCCCCCCGCCCTCCTTCCTCTCCAACATATCCCCCCGCCCTCCTTCCTCTCCAACATATCCCCCCGCCTTCCTTCCTCTCCAACATATCCCCCCGCCCTCCTTCCTCTCCAACATATCCCCCCGCCCTCCTTCCTCTCCAACATATCCCCCCGCCCTCCTTCCTCTCCAACATATCCCCCCGCCCTCCTTCCTCTCCAACATATCCCCCCGCCCTCCTTCCTCTCCAACATATCCCCCCGCCCTCCTTCCTCTCCAACATATCCCCCGCCCTCCTTCCTCTCCAACATATCCCCCCGCCCTCCTTCCTCTCCAACATATCCCCCCGCCCTCCTTCCTCTCCAACATATCCCCCCGCCTTCCTTCCTCTCCAACATATCCCCCCGCCCTCCTTCCTCTCCAACATATCCCCCCGCCCTCCTTCCTCTCCAACATATCCCCCCGCCCTCCTTCCTCTCCAACATATCCCCCCGCCCTCCTTCCTCTCCAACATATCCCCCCGCCCTCCTTCCTCTCCAACATATCCCCCCGCCCTCCTTCCTCTCCAACATATCCCCCCGCCCTCCTTCCTCTCCAACATATCCCCCCGCCCTCCTTCCTCTCCAACATATCCCCCCGCCCTCCTTCCTCTCCAACATATCCCCCCGCCTTCCTTCCTCTCCAACATATCCCCCCGCCCTCCTTCCTCTCCAACATATCCCCCCGCCCTCCTTCCTCTCCAACATATCCCCCCGCCTTCCTTCCTCTCCAACATATCCCCCCGCCTTCCTTCCTCTCCAACATATCCCCCCGCCTTCCTTCCTCTCCAACATATCCCCCCGCCCTCCTTCCTCTCCAACATATCCCCCCGCCCTCCTTCCTCTCCAACATATCCCCCCGCCCTCCTTCCTCTCCAACATATCCCCCCGCCCTCCTTCCTCTCCAACATATCCCCCCGCCTTCCTTCCTCTCCAACATATCCCCCCGCCCTCCTTCCTCTCCAACATATCCCCCCGCCTTCCTTCCTCTCCAACATATCCCCCCGCCTTCCTTCCTCTCCAACATATCCCCCCGCCTTCCTTCCTCTCCAACATATCCCCCCGCCTTCCTTCCTCTCCAACATATCCCCCCGCCTTCCTTCCTCTCCAAACCCTTCCGTACCTTCGTGACTTCCTCCCCTCCCCTCTCCCTCTCCCCTTACCCCCATGGCTTGGTGAGCCCGACTAATCATTGAAGGCGCTCTTCTCCCCTTGGCTCCGCTCCTCCCCTCTCCTCTTTAACATTCCCACCCTCCCCTCTCTCCCTCTCCCCTCCCCCAGTAGCTAGGAGAGGCAGAGAAGTCAGTGAATACGATCCCCAGTGACTGCGATCCTCTCTCTTGAACTCCACCGCTCCCCTCTCCTCTCATATTCCCACCTTCCTCTCATTCCCCCTTCCTCACTCTCGTCACCCCCTCTTCTCCCACCAGTGGCTGGGCGAGGCGGAGAAGTCAGTGAAGGCGATCTTCTCGGTGGCCAGTAAGATGGCGCCAGCTGTCGTGTTCGTGGATGAGGTGGACAGCCTGCTGGGGCGGCGAGGGCAGTGGGGGGAGCACGAGGCGATGCGCAAGGTGAAGAACGAGTTCATGTCGTGTTGGGACGGGCTGCGCACGCGGGCGCATGAGAGAGTGCTGGTTCTTGCCGCCACCAACCGACCGTTCGATCTTGACGACGCCATCATTCGACGGTTCCCACGACGGTACGGTTCTCCACCCTCTCTCCCCTTGTTCTTTGGCTCGGGGGGGAAGGCGAGAGGGGCTCGTTTTTCTGCGTGGCGAGAAGGGCAGTGGGGATCAGCAATGGGGGGAGCACGGGGCAGTGGGGATCAGCAATGGGGGGAGCACGGGGCGGACTTACCAGACGCAGACAGACAGCAGGGAGAAGGTCCTTCAAGCCATCCCCTGCCCCTCTCTGCTCTGATCTGCTCTGCTCTGCGCTGCTCTGCTCAACCCTGAGCCGTCTACTCCATTTCCTCTGTCCCCTTTTCCCTCCTTCCCTCCCTCTCAGGCTGATGGTTGACCTACCAGATGCGGACAACAGGGAGAAGACCCTGCGAGTGGCTCCCTGCTCTGCTCAACTTAACCCTGACCCTTCCCCACTCCCTCTCCCCGACCTCACTCTACCCTCTCGTGTGTCTCTTCCCTCAGGCTGATGGTTGACCTACCAGACGCGGACAACAGGGAGAAGATCCTTAGGGTGATTCTAAAGGACGAGGAGGTGGAGGAGGGGTTTGACTATAAGGAGCTCGCTGCCATGACCGAGGGGTACTCGGGGAGTGACCTCAAGGTGAGTGTGATTATATGGGGGGGTGGTGGTACTGATACATGCACCGGAGGAGGTTGGTGTTAGCGTGATTTCACACTGTTTTTTTTTCTCGTTTGTGACACCAAGGCCCTCTGAATCTCCTCATTGCAATCGACCTCCCGTTTCCTGCGCTCCTCTCTCTCTCTCTCTCCTCCCCTCCCCTCCCCTCCCCTCCCTCATCTGTGCTTGCTCCCTGCCTCCCATCAGAACCTGTGTGTGACGGCGGCATATCAGCCCATGAAGGAGATTCTCAAACAAGAGGAACCCTCCCCTCCCGTGCTCTCCTCTCCCGTCCCCTCCCCTCCACTGCTCTCCTGTCCCCTCCTCTCCCCTCACCTGCCTGCCATCAGAACCTGTGTGTGACGGCGGCGTATCAGCCCATCAAGGAGATTCTCAAACAAGAGGAGGTGGAGAAGGTGAGGGGCAAAGGGAGGGCAGTGGGTCAGAAAGCGAAAAATAATGTCGGCGGTGCTGCTTGCTCTGTTCAGCGAATGGCTCCCATCCTGTTTCTGATTTTGCTTTTGCGGTTTTCATTTCTTTAACGGGCAACAGAGTAAAGGGCATGATGTACTCTGTTATTTTTTTACGATGCGCCTCTCCCGGCCTTTTTTCTTGCCAAACCCGTTTCAAGCAGAAGAGGCTGCAGCTGGAGGAAGCTTCCAAGAAGGCGGACAGCTCAACTGCAGCAGCAGCAGGAGAGGTGCAACCACCACCACCCGCTGCTGCAGCAGCTTCTGGTGGGAGCAGTGAGGGGGGTGGGGGGGTTAGTGAAGGAGATGCAGCAGCGGAAGCAGCAGCAACAACAACAGGTGAATCTGGCGATTTACCTGGCAAGCCCAGCCAAGAGAATGAGCATGGCTCTGCCACTCCTGCTGCTGTTGCTGCTGCTCCTGTTTCCTCTCCTACTGCTGCTGCTGCTCCTGCTGCTGATGCCACTTCAGCGCCGGCTGACACCACTTCAGCGCCGGCTGACGCCACTTCAGCACCGGCTGACGCCACTTCAGCACCTGTTGATAACACTGCCGCACTAGCAGCAGACAAGGAGGGTGGCGAGGCCAGTGTGCAAGGCGTGCATGAGGGTGAGCAGTTAGGTTTGCAGAAAGATGTGTCAAGACCTGTTGAAGTGGAGGGGGGTTCTGTGGTGTCAGACGGTGGTCGCACACAGGGGCAAGCTGCAGAGGGTGGCACTGGGGTGAGCGATACTGGTATGGGCGGCAGTGAAGTGGGCGGCAAGCAGGTTCTGTTTATTGAGGGCGATGAGGCCGGGGAGAAGAGCTGCTTGCAGGTTGCTTGTAATGGAGATGCTTCTAACGAGAGCGTGTGCAGTGATCAGGCAGATGGTACACCTAAGGAGGAAGCGGGAATGGAAGGAAATGAGGGGAGAGGAGGGAAGGGAGGAGAGGAGGGTGTGAGCGTGAAAGGTTGTGCTGTGAAAGGGGGAGAGGATGGACAGGTTGCTGCAGTAAAGGAAGCTGAAGGTGGCCCCTGTGTTGGAGAGGTGATCAGAATGAATGGCACTGTACGGAGTTCCGCTCTAGTAGACGGCGCTTTAGCGAGTGACCATTCGATGAATGGCGTTTCAGACACAGTGACTGCAGGTGGTGTGAGTGAAGAGGATATGCTCTGCAGGAAAGATGCCAGGTCAGGTGAGATTGAGAGCAGAGAGAAGGAAGAGAAAGAGGAGAGAGCGGAGGTGCGAGAGGGAGGGGGGGTGGCAGAGGCAGCAGGAGGGCGGAGCATGGAAGGAGGAGTGGCAGAGCAATTGAGGATAGATGAGAGTCAAGCTAATGGGGGTGAATCTGCTGCAGCTGAGGCTGGGAGCGACAGAGACAGAGGGAATGAGAGGGCTGCAGGGGATGATAGTGCTGCGATGGCAGGGGACAGTATGATTGTTGGGGACAAAACAATCGCAGGGAAGAGTGAAAGTGAAGGGGTTGCTGAAGGGAGAGAGGCTGCAACTGAGGAACCAGAATGTGAAGAAGCGGGTTCATTAGCCGGTTCACGGGGTAAGGAGGACGGAGGAGGTGAGAAGGGGCGGAGTGAGAAGGTGGAGGGAAGGGAGGGAGAAGCAGAGGATTCAGCAGAAGAAGCAGGAAAGCAAGCAGCAAATGAGTCAGCAGAAGAAGCAGGAAATCAAGCAGCAAAGGAGGCAGCAGAAGAAGCAGCAGAGGAGGCAGCAGAGGAGGCGCTAGTGAGGGGCATCGTGGAGGACATTTTGAGGCGCGGCGCTGATGACAGCAGCAGCGCCTCCCCTGCTGACCTGTGCGCTGACATGGCAGCTGCGCTGGAGATGGTAAAGGAGATCACACGTGAGGACGACACGTCAGCAACAGATGCCGGGGAAAAGGGAGGTAGTTCCATCACAAAGGCTAGAGAAGGTGTGGGTAAATCAGAAGGTGAAGCAGAGCGGAGAGACGGGGAAGGAGGTCCAGGAGGCACTGAAAACGACACTCAGAGCCAAGACCAGCAGCAGTCGCAAGCACCGGATTCCGCGACCTCTCTCCCTCGCCCTCGCAGCGTCTCCCTCCTCCAATTAGCCGAGGACAGCTGGCGCGAGCGCACGGGTGCAGGCCTATCAGGACTGTGCAAGGTAGGAGCAGACGGTGCTGCTGGCAGCGGCGGCAGCAGTGGTGGCGGCGGTGGTAACCGCGTGTTACGGCTGCGGCCAATCACGATGGCGGACATGCGGGCGGCGAAGCAGCAGGTGGCGCCGAGCACGGCGGGGGACAGCAGCAGCATGGCGGAGCTGAGGCAGTGGAACGACCTCTATGGGGAGGGCGGCTCGCGCAAGAAAGAAAAACTGTCCTACTTCCTCTGAGGCACTGCAAGAAGGTTTTTCTTGAGTCGACTCATAAGTCACGGCGGGGGATAGCAGCAGCATGGCTGAGCTAAGGAAGTGGAACGACCTCGTTGGGGAGGGCGGCTCACGCAAAAAAATAAAATAAAAAATCCTACCGGTACTTCCTCTGAGACACCGAGATAAGGAAAGGGTTTTCTACTTCGTCTGGCTGGCTCTATCTTGATTCCTGGGAAAGGGAAAGATTTAGCTCTACTTCCTGCAGACTCCATCCTGCTATACTGGTACTTGGATTGGAACCTTATCGCTCTTGCATGTTCGATTGGCATGCTGCATGCTGCATGCTGAAAATGCGAAGCAAACCGGCTCAACCGTCTAGTCCAGCTAGCTGGAGTTAGGTGATCAGTCAACAGGTTGTGGTAATAGTTTGAGTTGAGATATATTTTTACTTTCCAGAGATTCAGCTCAACAGGTGGCAATGTTGTGTTGTGGCTTGCAGCATGCTGCCGAAGCAGGCAGGAACATGGTAGCTGTATCATATGCAGTATTTGATGTGGCCAATAGAGCGTCATCATGACTCAGTTATCCCACCAGCAGATAGCCACACTTGTAAGCACCAATTTCAAAACATTTTCCCTAAACATGCTTAGCACTATAGGGATGATATGATACAAGTCCTAAACGAAGTACCTATACAAGCCTTCACCTATCAATTACCGTAATCAATGCTGCCAGCCACACCAGTAGCATTCACTTGCACCTGATGCTCTCGGACCACTCCCATTGCCACAGGTCATTCTTCACAGCCGCCAGGGAGGCCTCATTGCACCCAACCTTGCCCTCACATTACCCATTTTCTCCTCAGGTTTTACGCTGCCAACTCTCTCCTGCCGCCTCATATCTTTCTCATGGCACACAGACACAACCAGAACGTTCCTCCCCTTCCCAGCAACAGTCTTCACAGCAAGAGCTCCTGCACTGCTTAACTTGGAACCGACTGCTGCTTTTCTCGAGGCTGAATTCTTGCCTGCAAGCAACATTGCTGTGCCTGCACGCAGAAGAGCCGCGCCTGCGAGAAACCGAGCTAAACCTGCAAGCCACAGAGCTGTGCCTCCGAACAGCAAAGCTATGCCTGTAAGCAGCAGAGCTGTGCCTGAGAGCAACAGAGCTGTGCCTGCAGCGGGACCCACTGCAGCATCCATGTCAGCATCCACTGCAGCATCCATGTCAGCATCCACTGCAGCATCCATGTCAGCATCCACTGCAGCATCCATGTCAGCATCCACTGCAGCATCCATGTCAGCATCCACTGCAGCATCCATGCCAGCGTCTTTTGCAGCACCCATACCAGCGTCCTCTGCAGCACCCGTGCCAGCATCCACTGCAACACCCACGTCAGCAGCCACTGCTGTAGACACCATCGCTGCTGTTCCTGAGCAACCATTTCCGCCCTTCTTCAAGTTATTGTAAACGCCACTGACCACGTCTCTCGTAACATTCGCCCAAGCAAAGGCATAGGTGAAACGGCTGCAGTCAATGTATTCTCCCGTGCTGTAGAGCCTGTGATAAACAACGCTCTCCTTGCTTGCACTGCTGCTGAAGCTGCTGCTGGAGCTGCTCTCCGTCTGTGAAGCATTCTTAGAAGAGTCACCTGCAGCGTCAGAAGAAACCACTGCAGCCTCAACGAGGCCCTCAGTGGGACCGGAATGATCCACTGAGGCTTCGGAGGAGTACCCCGCTGCATCATCTGACGTTCCTGCCTCGGATGACTCCTCTGCAGCCTCGGATGACTCCTCTGCAGCCTCGGATGACTCCTCTGCAGCCTCGGATGACTCCTCTACAGCCTTGGATGACTCCTCTGCAGCCTCGGATGACTCCTCTGCAGCCTCGGATGACTCCTCTACAGCCTCGGATGAATCCTCTGCAGCATAATAAGAGTACCATTCGGCCTCAGTCCACACTTCCTCCTCCCCTGCAGCCACATAGGGAGATGAGGAGGTCAATGGAGGTTGACCCTGCATCTGTATAAGCGCAATTCTGTTTCTAAACAAACTGAGGGCTTCATAGAATGTGGGGTAGTAGTCAGCATCAGCCATGATAAGGTAGGACAAAAAACGAAGGTTTCGAAATATGAGCTGAGGTAGACGAGGATAGTTCAAGAGCGGGGGACACACAGTAGATTTCCAGAGAGAAACTATGAATATGACTTGGAGTGATGTGGAGACTTTCTAGGCGTGCAAAGCCAAGCACCACAAGAGAGAGGGAGGACGGATGTTCGGAAGGGCAGCAGAGGGGACAGGTTCGGAGTTACTATCTTCAGTGTTGAAGCTCTTGTCCGCCTCCGCGATTTTCTCAGCTTGGGGTTGGCATGTTGCCCGGGTCGAAATATTCTACAAGGGCAGCAAACGAAACGAATGGATTGGCTGCTCGACTCTCACGTAGGATCCGAAAAGGGCTGCGGCTTGAAAACTTTTGGTTCCGCTGCCCTCAGGTCGAAATCTCTGCTTCGGAAGGCATACCGAGCCTCCACGCGAGAGATCAGGCGGCTCGTTGCCAGAGATCAGAGCAGTGGGTAGAACAACCAGTGGGCCTGGCAAGAAAGCGAAGGCGGGAAACACACGCTGCATATTGATAACTTTCACCTGCCCGCTCAAGAACGAAACTAAGGTCCGACAACTTCGTGGAGCTGCAGCAGCCAAATGGTACATGAAATTCAGCGGGAAGTGGCAATGCCTAGCAGACTAGCGACAGCGAAAATCGCGCGCGGCTAAGGGTAAATTTTCGGGTTTATGTTCGAAAATGAGACAACAGCACTTCTCTAGGCTCCAGCGATTCCGTGGAACGGCAGCAGCCATAGGCTTGGTGTAAATCCAATGGTAATCCCTGACTGGAGACTATCGATGAGACATGGCAGAGTTGAATCTTGAAACAAGCTTTCAAACATGACATCCGAATCTGAACTCGTTGCAGAGGTTTCCGTACCATTACACGCTTTGTTGTTGCTCAAAGCCTTACATGGGATTCAAGCACTGACCATTCTCTTTCGGGTTCCCACTATAAGGGTGTGTCACCATTCTGCCACTTTCGTTAACGTCAAAACAAACCGTTCTTGCGAATCTGTGTTACAGCCTTCGCAATAACCGAGTTTCGCGCGATACTTTGACGGTGCGAGTAACATGACTTCGCAAGAATGGTTTGTTTAGGGTTTGCAACGAAAACGAGGCCGGCAAAATGGTGACAGCCCTAAGCAAATTGCACTTCAAACATAGCCTAACTTCATGGCTCGTTCCTTTGGGATTCCCTTCTACAGTAGCTCTAGATAAAGCCCACATAAACAAATCCCAGATTTATGCTGACTTCACCCATCAACTCGGAAGTCTTTTCTTGTTGCACATGTCTTTTCTTTATCGTAATCCCTTCAGCTCACCTGCAGTTTCGTATTAACTTACCGTAGCGCGATCGGCGGCCCATCTTGCGCCATACTGCCTCGAACAGCGCATGCATTCGCGTTTTAGGTTTCGTCTGCGTTGTGCTCCGCAAAACTCTTTCTGTCACTAATAATCCGCAGGGCTCGAACTAACATGCACCGCTAGTCGTACCGCTATTCTCTGCAGGTTCTCGCGTTCGTGATTCACGTCGCCGGTAGAATAACCATCTAGTGTGCCAGCATTATTCCGTGCTCATTTCGCAAAAAGGGGTAATAACTTGCATGCTGCTCTGGACGTGCTACGATCTGCATCTTTCCTTCCTAGCCTATTCGTCCCTCCATGGCAAGCCTTGGGTCTGCTGTTACCGGTAGGAAGCGCACACGGCGCCACGATAACGTGGCTGACCGCATTGCTCGCGCCCTAGAGACTAAAGCCGCAAACGCGGGCAAGCCTATCACCATAAATATAACATGTACGTATACTAATGCAAGTTTCTAGGAGGAGGAAGACTGTATTTGCCGCGGAGGTTTGCGTGTTCTCCATCATTTTCCAACGTTCGCATGCTTGTTCCCTGTCGTTTGCCGCACTCCATCTTACTGTATCGGTTCGCATCCACACGTCACGTTTCTTGCAGCCAACTCAATTTTCTGACGAAAGCTAGGCGCATCAAAGTCAAAGCTCGTCTAATTTCACGCCTTATGTTTGTTGCAGATGAGCAAACCAAAATTCTGATGGAGGCTGGCCACGCGCTCGCGACAATGACAAATGTGACCGTTGATCAGCAGCTTGCAACTTACGAGGAGTTCGCACGTTACCCCTACATGGCAACGATGTTCCTCACGGTGACTCCTTCCATTCGCACCGCTTACGTGCGTGGTAACGTCCGTGGCGATGGCCGTGCATTACCCGCACGGGGTGTTGCATCACTTGCGGCGGGAGGTGCATTAGCCGCTTTGGAAGGTGGAACAGGCGCAGAGGACGGTGGAACAGGAGCAGGGGACGGTGGGACAGGCGCAGGGGACGGTGGAATAGGTGCAGGGGACGGTGGAACAGGCGCAGGGGACGGTGGAACAGGCGTAGGGGACGGTGGAACAGGCGCAGGGGACGGTGGAACAGGCGCAACGGGTGTTGCATCAGCCGCAGGGGAAGGTGAATCAGCCGCAGGGGAGGGTGAATCATTTACAGGGGAGGGTGAATCATTTACAGGAGAGGGTGAATCATTCACAAGGGAGGGTGAATCATTTACAGGAGAGGGTGAATCATTTACAAGAGAGGGTGAATCATTTACAGGAGAGGGTGAATCATTTACAAGAGAGGGTGAATCATTTACAGGGGAGGGTGAATCATTTACAGGAGAGGGTGAATCATTTAGAGGGGAGGGTGAATCATCTACAGGGGAGGATGAATCATCTACAGGGGAGGGTGAATCAGCTGCAGTGAGAGGTGAATCAGGTGGGGAAGGAGGGGCATCAGCCGCAGGGGGCGTTGGGCAAACACTCTAGGGTGGGTGAGCGTTGTCTTTATTGATCACCCTTCCAGTTTCCTCCCCATTCCCTCTCCTCCTTTCTGACCTTCCTGCTAGAACCTACAACTTCCCCACCCTCTCAACCTCCATCCCCCTCCCTTCCAAACGCATGCCAGTTGTTCAACTATGCGGAATGCATGTGCCTGCCATGTAAGCACGCAACATACATGCGCCTACCATTCTACAGCCCGGCATACGCGCACCTGCCCGTTGCCCTACTTCTGCTCCATCACTCTCCTTTCCCTCCAATCCCCCTCCCCGTCGACGTCGCTTCCCTCCCGTCCCCAATGCCCTTGCCTCTTTCCCCATCGCCTCCCCCGTCGTCCTCTCCTCTGCTACCCATTGCCCACGCCTCCCCTCACATGACACATACCTCCATACACTCTACCACATGCATATCTGTTATTCACTCCCTCCGCCTTACTCTCCCTCTCTCCCTCTCTCTCGTCAATCCTTCTCCACTTCCTTTCCAATGTATTGATCTCCTACGTACCCACTACAGATTTCTCCTTTCGACCCTCTCTACCTCTCTCCTTCCTTTTTTCTCTTTTCTCTCCTCCTCCCATCTGCCTTCCCGCTTGCCCCCGACTTCCCACCTCATTCCGTTACTTACCTTCCTCCAGCCACCAACTTACTCCACTGCATCCGTCCACCTCCTGACTGAACCCACACGTTTACCCCACTGAAACAACTCCTGTGTCCCACTTTCCATCCTCCCTTTCTCTTCATAACTCTCCCACTCCCTCTCCCACCCTCCCTGTTCCCCTACCCGCCCTGTTCCCCCACCCTCCCTGATCTCCCACCCTCCCTGTTCTCCCACCCTCCCTGATCTCCCACCCTCATTGCCGAAAGATATGATTACTTAATCACGGATCTAGGTGGCCCACCCTCCCTATTCCCCCACCCTCCCTTTTCTCGCACCCTCCCTGTTCTCCCAAATTGGACTCTCCTACTACACGTCACGACTCACGCACTTCCCTAGCACACGGGTCAAAGCTTTGTGCTAGTGCAGGGGTGTTGTAGGGGCAAAAGGTGCAGGCGTGGGGCAGGATGTGGAAAGGAGGGGAAGGAGGCAGTAAGGCAGGGTAGTTCGACAACTGTAGAGTGGAGGGAGGGGAAAGGGGATGTGTAGACGGACGGATTCTCAAGAGCTTGTAGGGTCGGGTCAGGAGCACTATGGAATGTTCAGGTCAAACTACACATGACTGAATGTTGACCTCTGTAAATAGGTTTGGTGAAAGTGTTTATGTGCATTATGAGTCAGAATCCACACACAGCAGCAGCTCTTGTTTTGTTGGCCATTTATCAGGTGTCTTGTCAGTTTTGTAATACTGGAAGGAACGGGTGGTTACCTAGCCTGATTTTCTTGATAGCGAGGAAAAACATATGGTGTATGTGCATTTTGAGGACTGAACTAAGGGCGTATCCAACTTCGGGTCATCAGCACTGTTCATTCAACTGTTTGGGGCATCCGCAAATCACGGATGCCCCAAACTCAACACCGGAATCGCGCGCGGCTCGAACTTCGGGTCATCCTGCAACGTGCATGCGACCGTCACGCCCAATGTGTCTCCCACCAATCACACACAAGTGCGACCCCATGTTGGGTCCCCCTCTTTTGACGGACGTCCTTCATCATTCACGCCCGTCAATTTCACCAACACCATCACTGCGTACAGCACAATTCCATAAAAGCCACTTGACCATGAACACAGATACAAGCCAAATGTGCAGAGCTAGTTGAAAATACGGCCCGACAGCCATATCTACAAGCACAATCTTGACCATAGCTAGCCGCCTTGCAACCAGCGCCACTCCCAACACGCCCCGCATTATGAATGGTCGTGAACCAGCTCCCGTTGATAGGATGAGCTACCACTTTACGCCTCTTGGGAGTCCTTAACCCATGCTCACAGGTCAGGTCCTCATACTTTGTGTGGCCCTGCTCCTGTGGCATGAGGTGCTTCTGAATACCTGGCAGCGTGTAGTCTCTCTTGCGGCTCTAGAGTGGATAACCACCATCCTACCCATGGCTGAGGCTGAAGATGTCGAACGCCTCCGCCGTGCAACCGAGCACCGGGAGAAGCGTAGCCGGCGTCGCGAGGCTCGCGTGGCGGAATGGGTGCAGGAGATCCGCGCGATGTTCGACGACGAGTTTGAAGATACCTTCCGTATTACCCGCGAAGTCCTAGACCTCATTGCCGAGCGAATGGCCTACCCCATGTCGCGTTTCGTGGAAGTGAATGAGGTTCCCTTGTCACTGTGCTGTCTTATACCCATCAAGTATTTTGCTAGCGCCATGACGTTCCGCGATTTGGGCCTCTTGTTTGGATTGCCGCCAGGACTCATCCACCGTATCGTCGATGCCTTCTTGGTATGGTTTCCCCGCAAGTTCAAGCGTGAGTGGGTGCAGTTTCCTACGGAGGACGTGAGGGAGGAGATGGCGCGCGACTTCCGTGCTATCAAGGGAGTTCCCAACGTGATTGGGGCGATTGACGGGACCCACATCGAGCTACGTGGCATGGAGGCTCACCGTGGTGACTACTACAACCGGAAGCAGGTTTACAGTGTCCAACTTCAAGTGACATGCGACTCAAAGGGGGTCATCTGGGATTACAACGTGGGCAATCCTGGTTCAATGCATGATCAAGGTGTTTTCTCAACATCTGATTTGCATGGCAGGCTAGAGAGTGGGGAAATCGCCCCCTATCAGCTAGTAGGAGATGCGGCATACCCGCTGAAGCCTTACATGCTCACCCCCCTTCACGCCCCACGCCGTCGCCTGATGAAGAAATGGGAGCAGACATACAACTACGTGCAGTCTGCTACCCGCATGGTCGTCGAGCGCACCATCGGCGCGTTGAAGGGACGCTGGCGGCTCTTCGCGCGTAGGAACGAGAGCAAACTATGGCGTGTATGCGCTGGGACGGCCTGCATCATCATCCTGCACAACATGTTGCAGGTCGTTAGCACGCTGCGCATGAAAACGCACAGTCAGCGCCGCTTTATCTGGGCCGGGCTCCCTGACGGGTGGTGGACAAGAAGCGGCATGGACAAGTACGAGTGGCAGAGCCTTGACAACCCTTCGTTGGCCGATCTACGCGCGCGCAGGCATCACTTCGGCAAACACATCCATCGCGCTTACCTTAGGCGTCACCGTGTGCGGACGTCGGCGCACTAAGGCTCCGCATGCTCCTCGACATCCTCGGACACTCCCATGTTCTCGTCGCCCGCAACTTCCGGATGGGCTGGAGTCGGGGTATTCGAAGGTGCCGCGATAGGCGCTGGCGGGCTGGCTATCTGCATTCGAAAGCCAGCCTGGAGCGCCGCCATGTTCATGGCGGCGACAAGGAGTTGGGTGGAGTCTTGCAACTGTCGCACCACCGTCGCATTGGTGGAGTTGATGGCCTCGCTCACCATCTTTGCGGCCGCCATGGTGGCAGTCTCTTCAATCCGCCGTCGTTTAGGGGGTGGAGTCACCCCGGCATCTGTAGTGAAGGGTGTAGGGGGTGGATGTCAATAAGGCGGAAACGGTTTTCAGGTGTTCGTTAACTTTATGGATATTTGATTCATCTACCTCCAGTTCATGATCACGTTGATATTTGACGGTCGATACGTCTAACGTTGAACCACAATCGCTGGAACGGAGATATCAGTGGCAAACACAACGCTGAACCTGAAGCAAAGCACTTCATGCTCAATCTTACGAATGGGGAGTACACACCTGGTGTGGTCGCCTGACGGCGTTTAGCGCGCCCACGGCCCTCCGATGGAGGCGCAGAAGTTTCCCGGTCGGTGCAGCCGGGCACCGGGGCGTACGCTTGGACGTCAACGTTCGCCGCGCCTCCACTGTCGAGGGCGTGCGCCTTGGCCTTCGCCGAGTGCTTTTTAAGGTGGTAGACGTATTCCCACCACGGTTTTTTCTTTATTGCTTTCCCTCCGCTCTGTCCCTCCCCCCGCTTCGTTTTCAGGTACTTCTTCTCGAGGCGTTTCCATGCGTTGGACATCTGTCCCTCATCGCGGTCCCAATTTTTGTCCTTTTCAACCATGTGGGCGCGGAGCTTCCTCCAGTACTGGCTCCCCTGCTTGCCCTGCATAGCCTTCAGGTCGTCTTTAGTGTTCCAACGAGCGGCCGCCAGGGACGTCAACTCGGCGTCCGACCACACGCGCTTGTTGCGAGACGCAGGAGCCCGATGCTCCTTCTTCGACGGTCGTGTGCTGCGCTCATCACCGCTTCCGTCGTCGCCTCCATCAGTATCTTCCTCGTCCTCTTCACTGCCGAGTTTGTAATCGGCTGAGTCGGCATCGCTATCCGACTCCGAGACGATCTCCTCGAGATCGTCATCAGAGACGTCAGTATCGGCGCCTGTGTCGGGATAGTCATGTCGAGAACTTCGGCTACTGCTGGCGCCCGCAGTTTCGCGTACGGCCTTAGCCATACGCTTGATAGATGGGGATGGCTTCCCCTGCTTTTGCTGCTCTTTCATCCATGCGACGTAGGGGGGGTCAGGTGTTTTCTCATCATCGCTAACCTTCTCCTTTCCCTTGCCGCGTGAGCTTCGTCGCGGAGGCATCCTGGTTCTATGGGGTGGCTCACACACGAAGATAACGGGGTGGTGTGCAGGCTATTCTCAAGTCGAGATCTAGATCTACTTCATCCTCGATTTTTGTTTCTGCCGTTTTGTGGAACCCTTTGGTGAGGCTTTGTGGTTGGGATGGGTTTCGGAGGCGCGCAGATCCAAATGTTCTTTTTACCGCCGGGAATTTAGACGGGTGGGGTGATGGGGTGTTTGTCGCGCAACCGGGTGAAAGGGATCGCATGGCTTGAAGGCGGGAAAGCCTATTGGTTGAAGCAACATTTGGCGATGCCTTTTTTGGCGGGACAACAAACGCGCCTTTTTGAGGGTCGCACGATGTTAGATGACCCAAAGTGGTGTTTTGTGTAGTTCGGGGCATCCACAAATTGCGGATGCCCGGAACAGTGCTGATGACCCGAAGCTGGATACGCCCTAACCCCATCCGAGGATCTTCCAAATTTTGGACGACAGTGGCGAGATGTCGCCCCACCAGAGATTCTCGGAAACATCTGTCGCGCAGTTTCACGATGGACTGTTATCACCGCATCTAGGCATCTTGGTTCTGTGCCCAGCCCGGAGTCCAGCCAGAGACCAATTGACAGGCCTGGTCATCACTGCACATGTGTTACTCCATTGCACGAACAGCTCGTGGTGAGGGCGTAACGCGGAATTTGATCATCGTCAAATTGACGCGCCGTGCTTTGGGAGACACCCTATTGGTTGGCGCGAGTCGGTGGGAGCTTTGGACCGACAACGGAGCTGATGAACCAGCCACCGTGTTTTCGGCAACAGCGGCATCCATTGGTGATGGTCGCGTCGCGTCGCGGGGCGTTCTCTCCCGCCCACGGTCACTTCAGCGGCTGTGGGGGGGGAATTGTCGTTCACAACTCCTTCCCTGCCTGCCACCAGCCTAGCAGATTTGCGGAACTAGGCTCCTTGGTCTGGCTACCAAGGACAAAGCAACTGGCCTGTAACGCATAACTCACGAAATGTAAAACAGCGCGCTAGTCCCATCATTATCGTCCTGTTACGACTTTCGCCAACAGCACAAGCTTCTAGACCTTCATTTCGAAGCAAACAGTAGCTTCGGCGTGGTGCGGAACGCCTCGGTACGCCCCGGCGCAGCGGGTTTCGAAGCTTCAACCGTTCAAAAACGATTAGTACCAAGAATCACCACGGTTCTTACCTTGCCCACAAATTCGTGCTGTACTACTCAACCAGCATGCTTCTGATGGCTGCTCAGGCGCCCTTCCTCTCCTGACCTGACCTTGATTGCCTTCGTCCTTCCTTCGTCCCGCGCGCCGAGCGGTACCGACGGCTAGTGATCAAGCTATTTGGCGGCGTGCTGTTTGCTACTAGTCAATCACAGCACCAGTGGGAGTGGGAGGATGGACGGTTCAACTTATAAGTCTCGTTAACTCACAGCAATTTGTGACTAGAGCTAGAACCGTGGATTTCTTTCAACAAGATCAACAGCCTTAACGCGCTAACCTTTAGGTAGGAAACAAAAGACGTCGGAAGATTATCAGACGATTAAGTCTGATATTTACTTCAATTCCTTGTTAGGGAACCTTTCGCATAGAACGTAGCCAGTGAGAATCGTAGTTAAGAAATCGTTAAGCCATGGATCCCGTGAGACTATTCTCCGATACATTCGGTGTAGACTATTCCGCCGCAGCGTACCTCGTCGGCGCGCTTTCGTCCATCCCCGTCGCGTACCTTCACCGGTTTATCGGCCCTCCCGCGCTCCGCCATGTATACGCCGCAGTTTCCGGGGTGCTTCTATCGTTAATCTCCTTCACTCCCGACGTGCTGCTGCATTTCATCCTCGCAGCGGCCTTCACACTCGTCGTCATGCGAACGCAGCGAAGCATCTGCGGACTGGTTACCTTCATTGGTACATTCGCACATCTCATCGCATGGTACGTGGATTCCATCGAGTTGGTATCAAGGGCAGGTCGCATCTGAGGCAGGTCGCATCAGGGGCAGGTCGCATCTATTCGCGTAGTAGTTCGCTTGAATAAGATAAGGTAAATCGTTTGAAGCTGTAGCCATAGATTACCTTTTGAGCTGGCCCGAGAATTGCGCCGCAGGTTGCGCTCTCAGCCGCGCTTGTTTTCCGTCACTTTGAACGACGGAGTCGTCGTAATGCGCGAGTGCCATCGGCACTCCTGCGTTCTCTACTTTCTCTTACTATTGTTTCTTGAGCACGCCAGAGTTTTCCTTTTCCTGTGCGCTTTGCACATCGTCTCCTCTTCACCCCTCTTTCCCCCTCCTTCTCCCTCTTCCCCAAACCCCTTCTTCCCCCTCTCCCCGCAAACTCGCGCCCTCCGCCTCTCGCGTACCCCGCAACTTGCTTCCTCTGCTTCTCGCTATTCACCTGCATCCCCTCCTCGTCGCCTAATCCCGCGCAGCCACGTCATCTTCATGAGCGACGACGCGCGGAGAACGGGCCGCGTGGACTTCACGGGGACTCTAACGATCGTGGCGATTAAGCTGACGTCACTCGCCATGGACTACCAGGACGGCCTTAAAGCCCTAAAGGACGACGCGAAGCGCGCGAAAGACGGCGAGAAACCCGAGAGCGAGCAGCCGTCGCGCGATGATCGGAGAAAGGCGGAGAAGCGGGCGAGAGTGATTAGAGAGATGCCGTCGCTGGTGGAGTTTCTGGGGTATCTTTTCTGCTGCGGGCAGCATCTGCTTGGGCCGTGGTTCGACTATCAATCCTACGACGACTGGACGCACCGCCGCGGGGTGAGTGCGTGGATAGGAACCCTAGTGTTACTTGGAGTGGGTAGGGACAAACCGGAAACCTGGAAAGTTGTGGTGTGAGGTCAGCAATGAGTACGCAAGCAACGGGGACCAAGAAACCCTAGTGGGGTTTGTTAAATCCTATGTGTTGATTGGGCACACTGATGTGATGAGTGGTTAGTGCATAAACAAGGTAAGAGTTGCTGCACCATCAAATAAGGAATAAGTTAGAGCATGAACATGAACCGAGGTAGAGCATAAACCCTTATTCCGAGGTTCAAGACTGGGAGGTAATTAACGGGTTGGGCCCGGCCGTGAATGAGTTCTACATTCCATAAGCGGAATGATGGCTCAGCATGTTGGCATTGGCTTACCAACGAGGGTTTCGGGTCTAGGGTTTGGAGTGAGGCTAATTTCTTCATCCCAAGTGGTCATTTGTATTAATGCCACAGCAGGTACATATAGATGGGGCAGCAACAGCAAAAGAAATAGAAATGACAAGGATGCAATTCCTTTCCCCCTTCACCCTTCCCCATCCCTCATTCCCCTATCTCCCATTTCCCCCCCTGTCCTTCCTGCAGGTGTGGTCCCCGTCGGTGCGCTCCCCCTCGCCCATCCCGCCCTTCCTCCGCGTGCTCGTCCAAGGCTCATTGGCAGCAGCCGTCTTCCTCCTCATCTTCCCGCACCTCGACCTCTCCCTCGCCACCGACCCGGCGCGCTTCTTCGTGCTGCCCTTCCTGCGGCGCCTGCTGCTGGTGTTCCACGCCACGCTCGTCACGCGCTGGCGCTGCTACATCGTCTGGTCCATTGCGGAAGCTGCCATGGTTGCTGGCGGCCTGGGCTTCTCTGGTTGGGTTGCTAAACCTAGTGCTGCTGCTGGTGGTGGTGGTGCTGCTGCTGCCACTACTGCTCCTGGTGGTCCTGTTGTTGCCCCTAGTGCTGCTGGTGGTGGTGCTGCTGATACGACTGCTGCTGCTGCTGCTGCCTCTGCTGCTAACTCAGCTGCTGCAGGGGAGGGGGCAGCAGACGAGCACGACGGGAAGGAGAACCATGCGGAGAGGAATGGTGTCAGCACAGGACAGGCAGCCGCGGCAGCAGCAGCAGATGGAGGGCAGGTGATGATGGGAGGGCGGGTAATGATGGGAGAGCTGGTGAACAAGCAGGGGGGCAGCACAGCGGGAGTCAAGGGCTCTGCAGTAAGTGGTGAGAAGAAGAGATCACACGCTGCCACCCCTGCTGCTCCTGCTGCTCCCACTCCTGTTACTGCGTCTGCTGCTGCAACCGCCACTGCTTCTCCTGCTGCTGCTCCCACTACTGCTGCTGCTGCCGCCACTCGCACTGATGCTGATGACGCCCCTGAGTGTTCACGTGCGGAACGGCAGGTGGCGGCGTCAGGTGCCGAGCGACAGGTGGCATCGTGGGATAGGGCGCGCAACGTGAATATCCTCGGCATGGAGCTCGCGAGCACGGGCGCTGACGTGGCAAAGAACTGGAACATCTCCTTCAGCACGTGGCTGCGCATCTGTAAGCATCGGCGCCGTTGCTGCTGCCTGCAAGCATATAGGGTCCACAGGTTGCCATCCTCGTTAGTGCCATCCTCGTTAGTGCCATCCTCGTTAGTGCCATCCTCATTAGTGCCATCCTCGTTCTTACCATCCTCGTCTGTGCTATCCAACATCACAATGCTGCACATCACAACGTGACCCCCCATTGTCCCTCGCATTCAACTATCACCTCACGTTACGATTCTGCTCACTCCTTTGCTATCCCTCATTTGTCCGTACTGCTCCCTCTCCCCCGTGGCGCTCCCCCACACAGACGTGTATGAGCGGCTGGAGGCAATGCCAAGGAAGAGTGCACTATTCAACCTGCTCTTCACCTTCTTCATCAGCGCCATTTCGCATGTGAGTGCCCTCTCTCTTAACGTTTCATGTCATGTGGTTGATTTCTGAGCCTCCTCAGAAGGGGAGGAGTGCATTGTTCTAACCTGCTCTTCACATTGTTCATCAGCGCCATCTCGCATGTGAGTGCCCTCTCGGTTCACACTTGTGTCACGTGGCTGCTGCTCTCATTGCCCTTATTTCCACCACTCCCTGATCTGAACCCATAAGGTTTGACCTACTGCCATTCAACTCTTGTTCTTCCCTCCACGAGCCTGAACTTTTGGCACTCATCTCTCCCTCGCCTCCCCCATTTCCTCTCCTCGCAGGGTCTGAACCTAGGGGATCTGATCAGGTTCGCCCACTGGGCGCTCATGATAGCGGGGTCGCGCGTCATCTACCGCTGGCCGTTCCCTCTAAGCCAAAGCTCATTGGTCCGATATTCTCTAACAACTCCCTCCCTCCCTCTCCTCCGTCCCATTCCCTCCTCCTCCCTCAGGGTTTGAACCCAGGGGATCTGATAGGCTTCGCCCACTGGGCGCTGATGATAGCGGGGTCGCGAGTCATCTACCGCTGGTCGCGGCCTCTAGCCCAGGGCTCGCTGCCTCGCCGCGCTGCCTCGCTGCTGCACTTCCTCTACGTGCTGCTCTGCATCAACTACGCTGGCTTTGGCTTCAGTGTGAGTGCTTGTGCATCTTGAAGTGCGTGATTGGATCTATGTTGCCTCGCTCGCTGCTGCGCTTCCTCTACGTGCTGCTCTGCGTAAACTATGCTGGAATCGGGATCAGTGTGAGTGCTTGAGGCAATTTGAGGTGGTTTTTGAGATGCATAGAAATATCGTTCGTGCCACGTGCTGCTCTGCATCAACTACGCTGGCTGTGGCTTCAATCAGTGTGAGCATTTGTTGTGTGCCTTAGAACGCGGAGTTGTTAAGCACGTGTGATGAGTCGATTTTTGAGTCGACTCAAAAATCGATTCAGTGTAAGCATGTGTGCCTTAGAATGCGGAGTAGTTGAGCGAGTGCGTCTGCGTTGGGTTTGTTGTCGTGGGTGTCAGTCAGACTGCACGTGCTGCAGTGGAGCACCGCATGTGTGTTTGCCTGCATGTGCCGAGCTATCCCTTCTCACAACACCCGCCCCTCCACACCCCCCTTCCCCTCCTTGGTTTCTCTTTCCGCCACTCGCATTTCTGTGCACGTCTTTCATTATTTACAATCTCCTTTCCCTCTCGTGGTGCTCCTTCGTGCAGGTGATGACGTTCCAGCACACGGTGCAGGCATACAGGGGGCTCTATTACTACGGCACATTAGTGCCTGTGATGCTCATCGTGGCAGGCAACTTCATCCGAACACCAAGGCCCAGGGGGGCCAAGAAAAGCCTCAAGACAGAGTAGCCAGGAGGACCCACTTTTTGAGTCAATTTAGCGTAAGCATGTTCTCCATTTGGTGGTTCTTACGGTAGTTTTGTGTATATACTATAATATTTAATATCGCTCGCATTTGATTGATAGCAAAAAGGACGACATTTGGAAGGAAAGGGATAGCTCGCAGCAACAACACTTACAGCTACCTAGCAAATACTCCTAGCATCTCAACGGATCACACTACCAGCCTTATCCCATCCACCTCCACAGGGCCGGCCTATTATTCTCTGCCTTGCACACAGCCATGCCACGGTGGCTGCACGTGCGCCGCATCAACTCGTTACAGGGCGTCCCATTATTAGCAGAATACTGTTGCACCTATACACCCTCTCGCGACGTTTCTCCTTTAGAAGTTGGTGCCGCTCTCGTAGGTCGTCCCGGCACTCCATCCGCTCGGAATCACGTCTTGCAACACCACCTGCTGCCCGCCGCCCGTCACGCGCACGCTCACGGGGCGCCCCGCATCGACGACGTCCTTGGCGGGATTGAGCACCCACGTGGCGCCCCATCCGTACGTCGTCATGCTCGACCACTGCGACCCGTCATTCGACAGCTCCACGTTCTCCACGCCTCCGCTCCCCGCCGCTCCAAGAATCTGAAGCGCGAAGTTGTACGAGTTGCTATCGTCGACTAATCTGACCTTCATTCCGCCGTTGCTAGGGCAGTCCACGCTGTGGTAGTCGATCTCCACGCGCCCCGCGGCCCGGTCAGCGACGATTCTATCCCACGCGGCGAAGTTGAGGTTGAAGTCGCCGTTTTGGCCGACCGCGCGCACCAGCACGCTGCCCTCCAAGCAGCTCGGGTGGTTCATGCAGGAGACTTCGTAGCACCTTCCGCAGCCCTTTCCGCTGTTGAAATCGCCCGAAGGAACCTGCGCTACCATGCCGTAGTCGAAATCCGAACTCTCGCCGTAGTCGAATTGGCCGCGGTAGCACGTGCCCTCGCGGTTCAGATCAGCGGATGTGGCGTACATGGCATTGGCCGGAGTGAGGGAGAGAGCAAGCAGAACGATTCCTACGCACAGTAAGAAGCCGACCTTGAAAAGGCGAGCCATTGGAGAAAGGGAGCAAGGAGTGGCTTAGATACTGCGGGAGCTTTCTGCTGACTAGGAACAGCCCAAGTCTGAAAACTAAAACTAACCAAGCGGGCTTGAGTATCAGACACACTGAACGCTTGGATGGCAGTGATAGATTTGGATGATGATGGTGAATTAGCAGGAGACTAATTTAGTTTCGAGACTCTCAGATGTTCAATGCAGAGTGCGGCTCGAGTCGGTTCGATATTTTTCCTGGTAATTGGGGCTCCGCTTCCAAAACAATAATTTTGGTCTCTTCACAAAGTGACTGCTAGGCGACAGCCACGAAAACGTTGTAACACTCATCGTGAGTCAAAAGTTTGGAAGGCGATTGGCTCGATAATAACTGGCTTCATTCGGTGATTTGCTGGTAATAATTTCGATGGAAGCGGCTTCCTGATGCTACCCCGCGGTGAGAGGCTCAACGATTATTGTCGCCCCGCAACGCTAGTATCTGTTGGGCCTTGGTACGGCTGGTAACTCAGCTATTTGACGAACCCTCAAAGTCAGCTTTCGCAGGTGGTAACACAACATGTGATTTGACTTGGCTGGCATTCGTATGTGTGCTCACTCGCACAATTTGCAGTTGGACGAGCACACAAATGCAGCGAGAACATATTACGAGGCGCGTTTTGAACCCGAGTGTTGTATTGTTGTATACTCATTCTAGGTGTTGTATTGTTTCTCGCTGTCATCTCACGCTATTGTTCCTCGCTATAATGTCTCGCGTATGGCCGTGTTTGCCCGTCTGAGCTCATTCTAGGGCTTGGTATGTTTCAGTGCAAACCTCGCTACCCTCGCTACATTGCACCCGTAACATGGATGAAAGGACTACAGAAAATTTGCCACTTGGTTACTGGGACACCCCTTAGCATGTTATTCCCGAAACTGTGAGCTGAAGGCTCATCTGTGGCGATTCGGTTGAGAGAATTTCTCCAGTGGCCAATCGGGTGATTCGTCCTCTCTCGGGGGCCTCGATTTACTCGAGTGGCCACGAAATTGGGTGATAATTACTCGAGTGGCCACGCCAGGGGATTCCTGCTCGCTTTTTTTTCACCGGCGAATTACCCTACGGGGATTTGTAGCCCCGAAATTCCTTATTCGTGCGAGTGGTATCCCTAGGTAGTGTTCCGTTCTGTTCCGCAACTTAAAATTTCGCCAGGCTCACGGACGCGAAAGTGGCCCGCCCACTGTACAAGAAACCGACCAACAGTACATTGACCGGTCAATTTCGGCCAAATGCACGACCGATGAGCGCGCGGTCCATCTAATTCCGAACGAATCAGCGATCAGCGATCATATAATCATATAGACCCGAAGCGAACAGCCACACCCCTAATGCACGCGCATGATTCGTAAAAAACATGCGCGGTGCATATGTTGCCATTGAGCGTCCAATCAGGCGTCATCATAGAATTCCCTATCATATACCGAAATGATCGGCCATCAATTCGCGATAAACTAAATTACCGCGCGTGATTGGTTTGTTTTAATCTCAGGATATGCTTTGCCATTGAGCGTTCAATCATTCCCGTCCAAATGCGTGAATACATGTTTCTATATCAACTTACGGAGCATCACAACATATCTATGCGACAGCTGCAGCAGTGGGAGACGAAGGAGGAGGAGGAGCAAAGGGAGGAATGCACACCGGCCACCCCCATACCCGCCACCCCACAGGTCGCCCCTCAGGTCGCCTCGACAGACGACGGGAAAAAGGGGGGGGGGGGTGGGGGGGGGGGGGGGGGGGTAAGGGGGCCCACCACGGGCCTGAGAGGGTCGAAGGTAGGGGCACGGGGCCGGGGCCGAGGCCGCAGGTAGGGCGACGGGCCGCAGGTAGGGCGGCGAGGCCGCGACAGAAGGGGCGGCGGGGCCGCGAAGGTAGGGCGGCGGGTGGCCGCGAAGGTAGGGCGGCGGGTGGCCGCGAAGGTAGGGCAGCGGGGCCGCGACGGGTCCCCGTCGCCCGTCGCGGCGCCTCCAGAAGGCGACGCGACGAACGACGAGGCAGACGCCCGCCGCGCGCCTCGGGGCGCACAGCGGGCAGAGAACCGCCGCGCGCCTCGGGGCGCACGGCGGACAGAAAACCGCCGCGCGCCTCGAGGCGCACGGCGGGCAGAAAACCGCCGCGCGCCTCGGGGCGCACGGCGGGAAGGAAAAGTAGCAGCGGAAGCGAGGTGGTAACCCACCCACAGGATCGATCCAAGGGGATCGACCTGCTCTGATAGCATGACAAAATTAGAAGAAAGAAAGAGGAGTGAACTAGCAGAAATGGGGATACAAATAGCAAACCCTAGAAGGGTTGTACTCGCTATAGAGCACCCCACTACAGGCTAGAACATAAGATAATATTCTGACATTGACCTATACAACCATTATTTCATTGTATTCATAGCACTAACTAAACTACTATACTGTATCCGTCTTTCGCACGTAACGGTATGAGCGTGCGTTAACAACGAACCCAAAAATTCGGCTAGTGGACCGTTCATATGCGCGTTGTGTTTCGACCAGTCACGTGTTCATGTATATATGACCGGTCATATATGCGGGAGCATATGCGCAGTCATCTGTGCGTGTGTGTATTACTGGTAAAGTGCGGTATACTATAGGGCCATTCAATTGTTCGAGAGTATATTATTGGTCAGGAGCGTAAAGTTATATGACTGGTCATATGTGGGATCATTAATCTTTTTTCTTGGCAGTCACCAATATTCATCTAGAAGCAAAGAACAAGCAGCCTACCACAGTCCCTATTATTCAAGACTAAGCATGTTATCGCACCCCCCCATTAGTTTGCTACATGATTGAGAAGATAAGACAAGAATGATGTGAACTATGAATGAAGCGAGTACAAATATGAAACCCTAGTTCGGTTGTACCCCCTATGGGATACCCCACTATAGCCTACACAATAGCATAAGCTATAATGTTCTGACACACCCCCATAGGCAAAGTCGGGGAGAACAAGTGGTCACAAGACCAGTCAAGCAAAGCAAAGCAAAGCTCAGGGTGGATCACAAAGTCACCACACATTCCGAGCACAAGTTCAAAGGCCAAAAGGCCAGTTCACATGCAAGAGCACACACACACACATATATACATATATATATATATATATATATATATATATATATATATATATATATACGAGGCTAAGCAAGCAAGAGCAGGAGTATATATATGTGACAGTACAAGCAAGGTCAAGAAGTGAGCAAGTGAGGCAAGACAAGCACAAGACCCAGCTGAGTGCAGAAGCGCTGATGATCACAAGGCGCAAGTGCCTTGGTGAAAACATCAGCAGTGTTGGCCTCAGAGGCCACGTACGCAAGCCGCAACTGTCCACGCTGCTGTAGCTCACGAGCAAGAAAGTAGCGGAGAGCAATGTGCTTTGTCCTGTGCTCCAGTCGTTGCTCTCGACAAAAGGCCAGCATGGCCTTGTTGTCTACGTACAGGACTGGAGGAGAACGAGGCGGCTCTCCAAGGTCGGACAGCAGGTAGGTGAGCCAGCGAAGCTCCTGGGCAGCCATAGCCCCGGCGTAGATCTCAGCCTCACAACTAGAGCCGAGAACAGAAGACGAGCGGGTAGCTCGCCACGAAACAGAGCCGGAACCAAGACTGAAGGTGTAACCCTGTGACGACCGCGGCGTAGCCTGGTCGTCAGCCCAAGAAGCGTCCGCGTGCCCAGTGAGGACCACTGGACTCCGCCCTCCAAGCACTAGCCCCATGCCCGACGTACTGCACAAGTAGTGCAACACCCTCTTCGCTGCAGCCATGTGCTCTGGTCGGTGTCTCCCAGGAGCAACATAGCGTGCAAGAATGCTAAGAGGGTATGCAAGGTCAGGTCGTGTGCAGGTCATCAGGTACATGAGGCAACCAACAAGCTCTGGGTACGGGC